AGGGGGAGGAACATCGGAGGGAATAGGGGGAGGGGGATATGAAAAGGAGAAGAAGAAGAAGAACGAGAGGGGGAGGGCAGGGGCAGGGAGAGAGAAAGGGAGAAAAAGAAGAAGAAGAACGAGGGGGGGGAGGGGGAGGGACAGGGATAGGGAGATAGGGATAGGGACAAGGAGAGAGAGGGGGGACGGGGAGAAGAGGGGGGACGGGGAGAAGAGGGGGGACGGGGAGAAGAGGGACGGGGACAGGGACAGGGACAGGGAAAGGGAGAGAGAGCGAGAGAAGTAGAAGAAGAAGAGGAAGAACGAGAATAGGAGGAGAAGGAGAACATGTTCGTTCCCCTCCCCCCTCTCTTTCTTCCTTCTAGTTCTCCTGTTCCTTCTCGTTTGCGGACAGAAAGGAGAAATAATATTGGCAATGATGACAACGCGTCGCTTCAGAGAGGAAAAAAAAAGAGTACATTGTTCATGTTCCGCAACCGCACATCCTTCTGGTCTCTGTCGCTAATACGACATGTCTACAAGATTTCCCAGTAGTAATATTATGTCGTCGCATTATGAAGCGTTATGGGCTCGACGGTATATACTGTGAGATGAAAGAAACGGTAGTTAAATGCTCTACCATGATGCCCAATGCAGCACCTCCATTAGTCCCCAGACTAGTCTCGTTATCATAACTTCCTCCCTAGGGTCACCTGTACATTGACTATTGAGCTACCTGTCTATAAATAAGATACCTAGTTAGCGGATACCTTAGGGCCTCGATTGACTGATTTGATGATCGTACGCGGGAGGGTACTAAGGGTCTTATCTTAGACGCAAAGATACTGGAGTAATCTGGCACTGACTTGCCTCCTCCTCCTCCTTCTTCTTTTTCCCTTCCTTTTTCCTTTCACAATAAATGAAAAATTAGCTGTTCTTCCCTGAGACACCAACCATCCGATGATTCACAAAATGATGGTCAACCTTGGGAAAGCGGTGCATGACCGTGGTATACAATAGGGCGATACGCAGTGCGTGTCCCCAATGCAGACGGCAGATGGAAAATTTTGTCTATGATGGGTCATTGCGGCATGCCACACCGATGGGGTGCGAGAATATTTGGTTGCTCTGGCCTCTCCCGTTGGCCTTCTTGATGGTTTGAACGAAAGCTATAGCTTGGCCGAGCGTGACCTCAATATTCGGGGAGGATATAACAGGCCTGTAGAAGGAGCGCGCTTTATCCCAGATTTTGGCGTTCCGTCTCTCGTTCATGGTCATAGGGTTTGCGACAGTTGAAGTGGTGGAATTCAAATAGGTACTTGGCGGCAAGGACATCGAAACCATCACACAAGAATGCCGGCACTATGCAGTAGATACGCTCAAATGCAAAGATATAAAGAATTAGAGCGACCAAAAAGAACAATTTCTGAAAGACTCGCAAGAGATGTGTTCGACGCACTTGGGATCAACAAAGAGAACCCACAAGCGTTCAACGCACTGATCAACAAAATGAAGACAAGCCATGTACTCGACCATCCCACTTACCACAAGTCTGGTATAACCCAGGACATTTTGACGAGGATTGTGGATATGGGATATTTGGTTTTTGGCGAATTGATCTACGGCGGGATGCTCGGATAATGGCATCTTCGATTCGTCTGTATGGCATCTCGCATGATTTGCATTGGTTCACACCAGTAATGGAAGAAGACAAATGCTGCCTTCAGAAATAACGATAGCTTTTCCGAGAAGCGTAATTTTCAGGAAACATCTTCCAAGTTCCTGGACGATAGAAAAGCTGATAACAAACTGAAGTCACCTACTGATCTTTGATATCATGATCAGCCCTTCCTGGAAGCCGCCACAGAAGCAGGCAACCGATGGTAGCCTCCATTTTCAGAGAATAAATCGATGTCGCACTCACTTTCTTGAATCATCGAATAGATTGTCTGACTCGAGAACTGCAAGAAACCATCTAGCATGGATAGCATTCATTTTCAACGCCTGGTGGTTCGCAGCCCTCCCGTTCTGATCGTTTACAAAACCTGGACCGTTGAAGTAAGGGTGACTTGGAATGCTAGATTTCATGTGCGTAACTTTCCTACGACACATTATGCGAGGAACGGGGGCGAGCTTTCCATCCCCTGAGGTCGTATCTTCCAATCATAGCTCCCACTCATCCGACCTCGGCTTTATGTTCTTTATTTCCGTTTTGTTTCATAGAGCAATACGTAGGGTTACAGTTGTAGCTCTTGATGGAACGTTGACGACCAGGAGGTGCGAGTCCCGATGGTGTGCTGCCGTCGATGCCTGTGAACGTTAGGCATCGAAACCTAATGTTGTACAACAGTTCAATCGGGCATTAGTCTGCTGCGTAGCTTGTAGATAAATTGTAAGCGTGTCCCGCCAGCTTATCACGTTAGTTTGCTTACCTATATTGATTATCTCCCTGATACCAAAATATACAAAGACGACACAAGCTTCCAGATCTATGCTGGGCAGTGGTCGCATTTCGGAGTGTCCAGCCCAGTGCAAGTGTCGATCTATCATAGAGGGATGCATTGAAAAGGAGTCGCCCAAAAGGATACCATTGGCTGCACCCTGCTTACGAAGGACCAGGTTTCAGCGTGCGTCAGTGGCGCATGAAAATAGCAATATAAATAAGAACCCCTCCTCGCCCGTCCCTCGTCCCCTCACAACTCTCATGTGCACAAACATCCTCAATTACCGTCCAGTCCGCTCGTATCTGCGGCACGACATTGCTTGAATTTGCTTCTGAGCTCCATCGCGGTATTCTTCGAGCCTTGGAGAGGCCCATCTCATCCTTCCACAATGCCTCACCTACTCCAGCTCCCAGTGGAGATTCTGAACTGTATCTTGGGCATGCTCGTTACATCTATCGGCCCATCGCACATTCACAAGATGCTTCTGATGTGCAGATGTCTATACCACCTCGCCCTCCCATTCTCGGTTCACGTCTTTCGCAACACCCCGCCTCTCTCCGTAGGTATGGGAGATTGCTCCGAGAGACGCAACGCCCAGTTCCTCCGCTACATCCTCATCGACAAACCCCAGCTCGCCCAAATGGTAAAGGTCATCGTTATGGGCAACGCCCGATCAAGAAAGGGACTCGGAGAGCTTCCTGCTGGTGCCGCCACTGTAAGCACACCCCAGGAGCTCGACATCTATGAGCAACGTATCCGGGATGTGATGCTGCCAGCCTCTCAGTACACCGAGTTCGTAAGGCGGCGCGATGCATTGATTGTCGATCTCAGACGGGGATTCGCCGAGGCGCAGCTCTCGCTGATCCTGCTCTTCTGCCGGCGAGTCCGCACGCTCTGCTTCGAGCAGAAGGACGAAGTGTTCAACCTGCCCACGGTGATGGAGTTCGGAGCCTACGTGCACACATTGCACTACGCCGACCTGCAGCCAGGTCCGCTCTGCAACATCGAGGAGGTGTACTGTGAGCCCACCTTTATGAGGAGCGGCAAGACCCTATGGCAATGGGCCCAACAGCTCGTAAATCTCCCGCGGCTCCGGGTTTACGAAGCCATCCTCGGCGACTGTTCACGAGTCGGCGGACCCTTCCATACTGTGCTCCCGAGGTCCGCGCCGGTGCGGGAGATTGTCCTGAACCATTCAAACGTCCGCGCGGAGATGCTCGACCGAATCTTCCGAACCTGCAGAGCTGTCGAGAAGTTCGAGCTTTCACAGTTCACCCACACTGACAGGTGCGGGTCCGTCTGTGTCTGCGAAAGGTTCGTGTCAGGCCCTAAGGCCGCACTATACAGCGTCCTGGAGGCCAGGCAGGTGCTGGACGCAATTCTGCCTCACGGCAATACCCTCACTCACCTGCGCGTGGTCCTGCACGACTATCGAAGCAAGTCGCCGCAGCCGAACCCCAATCGGCTGGTGCACATGGGCACGCGGCTCCGGGATATGACTGCTCTGCAGACGCTCGAGATAGAGATGGAGTCTCTGACTGCGAATCACAAGACCCCTATGCCGGATGACTGTCCGAGACTTGTGGACTGCCTGCCGCGCAGCTTGGTGAATCTGCAGATCCAAAGCTGCAATGCGCTCTCCGTCGAACCGGCGGCCGAGCTGCTCGGGGAGGTTGAGAGAGGCGACACCTTCACCCAGCTCCGCCAGATCCGGCTTCTCTTCGATCTCGACACGGACATCGCGAAAGACATTGACCTCGTCCTCAATTCGCCGGATACGACATTGGCTGTTCTGTTTCAGTCGCGTGAAGACCAACTCCGCGACATGGGCGCTCCGGTGAACACCAGAACTCGGAAAACTGCCTCTGCTTCCTCCCGGGTGTACGCAGAGGACATGCGTGATAGGTGGCTTGCATTGAGAGGGACTGGTGCGCACAGGGACTCTACCTCTTGGGATCCAAACAAGCTCATTTCCCCGCCGAAACTGATTTCCAGGTATAGGGACGATGAGGTTGAGTACTTAATGTGATCTAGGGTTTCCCTGTGCATTGCCAAGTACAGGGTCGAGCCACTAGTGATTAAATTGGGAATGTTCGGAGTTGAAAACGACAAGATTGTTTACTAAAGTTTTATGTCTACAATTGTTGATCATTTTTTACACGCCACGTAATGACATTCGTGCTACTTAATTGAGCCTTACTCTCACGTTCGCTTCATGTTGCATTTGTGTTCACCAACCGAAGTTCTCCCTCCCACGATGCGTAACATTGGGAGAGAAGAAGGCTACATTTCTTGTCCACCAGAGCGCTGGAATAACTCCGAGGAGCTTTCCATTATGACCTCAACGTTAGTTTAAGCTTATTTATCACCATCCTCAATTAGAGTGCAAGAAGGGCGGTTCCGGCGCGTTGCGCAGATCAGTACAGGGTAGGCTACCCGAAGCCGAAGGTGGCCAATGCCAATCCTTAGTCTATCAGTCAGATTCTATCAAAATAGTAAATCAGAACTATAGGATGATTCTTAGTAGCCTAAATACTAAAATACTGCCTTTAATGAGGGCATAAAATGAAAATATTGCTGGGTTATTAGGACATAAAGGAAGGGTTTGGCGAAATGAGAGATCAAAGTACCATTTGGTGCAATATCCTATTATGTCACCCGCTTGGTGGCGTCAGCGCGCCACATTTTGATCAGCCACTTCCCAATCCTCAGGCATCAACAATACGCCGTGGAGCCCGTTGCAGAACACAACGCGACAAAGAGAGTGTTGTCTACCACAACCAGCCTTCTTCCCTCCCCGACCTGGGAACCACGGAGTTTGCCAATTTCTCCGGCCTCACACGATCGTAGGCGTCCGATGCTTGAAAACCACTGAATGCCCAAGGCAGGGAAATGCGGTTACCCAGGCTAACATCGACCATCCCATGAAATATGCCTTCAACTCTGCCCTGCTACCTCCATCCTACGACGGATCGACCGACCGACCGAGAGTACACAAGGAGAACACAGGCTAAGCTGTCGAGGACAGAGAGGTTGGGTGGGCCACTGTTTGACTTTGGCAACGGAGACGGGTCTCTAGCGGCCTCCGCCATGGCGAACCCAATCTCTCGATAGCTCCGTCTCGCAAGTCTGCGATTTAGGGTTGAGGAGGCTTGGCTTGAAGACTTCGTAATGGAAGTCCTATTGCCGAAGGAGCCATTCAAGAACCTCCAATTGAAGAGCCGTAGTCCGAGTAGCCTCAATCCCCGAATGTCGACCCGTAGGCACAAGATTCCCTCAACGATGTAGATGTAATTTTCGCATCGCGCGCGAGGTTTAGTCTAGGAGGAAGCACGTAGAATTCTGGATGGACACATTGCATGTATTACCTCCAAAAGTAGCTCCAGTAGTTCTTCTAGTAGATCTGCGACCACCCTCTGTCCTCAATCCTACAGCCGAGTCGCGCTCTTCTCGTCAATAATCCTCACTTCGGCCTTGACTCCAAGATGGTCCGTCACCCACGCCTTCTCAAAGCCGAGCTCCACGATCTCCCTCCGCTCCTCCTCCCCGTCCGCCAGCACATCCGCCCCGATCCTCTCGAAGCTGTCCACCTCGGCGCCCCCGCAGTAGTACACCTTGTCCATCCTGGAGCAGCCAAACGTCTCCCGCAGCTTCGTGCTCGCCTGCTGTCCCCACGTGTATCCCTCCTCTGTGTCCTCCTCCCCGCCTAGCTCGAGGAACGCGTCCCGGAGCCCGTTGTCCGAGTGCAGCGTCCGGTCGAACGGCTGGACGGCGTTGAAGTCTCCCGCGGCCAGCCCGGCGTGGACCTTTTCCTCGCGCAGGAACCGGGCCACGAGCTGCATCTGGGGCGGGCGGAACGGCGGGTCGAGGGCCAGCGACTCGAGGTGCGTGTTGCAGAGCCGGACGGTCTTGCCCCGGACGGAGACGTCGACGAAGAAGGCGTCGCGGTCCATGCGTGTCTGGGAGTAGTGGACTCGGAAGGCGGCGGTGATGGGTAGCCGGGAGTCGACGAGCGTCACGGTGCCGTAGTGGCCCGTGGCCCAGTTGGTCGGGTCCAGGTCCGTGAGGTGGAATCGCTCCCGCACCCACGGCGTGGCGGCGATGGTGGCCAGGTCCGAGGGCGTGCACTCCTGGATGAAGATGACGGGGGCCATGGTGGACGGGCTGGAGGGCAGCAGGCTGTCGAGGTGGGCGAGCGCTGGCTTCATGCGCGCTTCCGCAAAGGGGAGCATGAAGTCGATGTTCCAGCTGTAGAGGGCGATGCCGCTGATACCGCTACTGTCTGCGGCTTGGGATACATCGTCCGAGGGGTTCTTTGCGGCCCAGGACGAGGTCGCCGGGTCAAATGTGTAGTAGGACTGCGGGTGAGGCTCGTCGTTCTTCCACGGTGGTGATGTCTTGCGCAACGCCGCGCTGTCCTTCAAGGCCTGAGCTAGGCGGGCTTCCATGCTGTCGCTGCCGTAACGGATTATGTTGTAGGTCTGTAGCAGACTCCCGAGTACCCAGTAACTAAAGGACGATATAGACATGATGCGCAAGCAAGATATGCGGTGTGGGTTGCTGACGCTCGTGGCGGAGCCGGATTATTGTGCGGAGAATCCGCATGTCAGAAATGGTCGTGATAGGCAAAACGAGCCTAATTTTAAACGGATGTTTTCAATGCCTGCATCCGAAATTCATCGGTGCAATTTACAATGAAGGTAGCTCGGAGACAGATCTATTGCCATTGACTTAGGTACCTGATGAGGAGAGTTACCTACGTGAGAAGTGTTTGGCAGGAACTTCACATCACGCACCATCATCTGGGACCAGCACGTCGTCCACATGCATGCCCTCATCGTCTGCCAAAAAATGCTTTCTCACGTTGTTCCCTCTTTTCGGATATCGCTTGGTTATGGCTAGAGCCGATGAACTGTCTGGCCTATTTATATTGAAGGGTCAAACACTGGCCTGACCCTGTCCCTATAACACACTCTACGAGTTGTAAGTCATGTTTGTGGATATATGCAGACAAAAATCATTTGTGATGTGAGGGAATGCCTACACATCTTGAGAAAGAAAGTTGTTGTATATTTCTGGGTAGGGGGCGCTTTGATGTGCCATCAACCGCCGAGCCATGCTTTCAGCGATAACTCGAGGGCCTCGGCTAACTTGCCTAGGGGATTAATTCCCGTTGTAGTGTTTTGCCTCACGTCATATAACTGCGATGAAACAGTTCTTTATGATTAAACTTATGTTATAAGATACATACATGTTGTAGCCATCTCTGCTGCACCTTTCGCCTTTTACTTCCACTTGGACTCTACTAAACGAGCTCAGTTTCGTTTGCCTCTGCCCTGAACCAAGAGAATTCACCCTGGGCAGAGACGTTGAGTGTCTTAACTCGCACGTAAAAAGAATCCAATAGAAGATGCCAGAAGCGATTTCTCAGCATAATGAACACGAAAGGCAAAAATGATAAGCTCTGCTGGCCTAAGGCTACAACAATGTAGAAGGAATACTCTGTAAACCCTCATACAGATGATTCACTTACCATCAGGGCAAGCCGCTCTTCAGATCTCTATATGTTCTGCCTTATTCCATGTCTACCTAGCTATTACACACACAGCTTCGTTCCTTCGTTCCTTCGTTCCTTCCCTCATCCAACCACAAACTCTTCTTTTGTTTTGTGGGCAGGTCGGACCTTCCCCAATTGGGTGTTCGCTACCTGTCAACAGACCTCCTCGGCCACGGGCTCAGCACACAGTTATCTTAGCTTCTGCATCATCAATTTCCACCGCTCCCTGTGACTGCAGCTCTACTACGCTCAAAGCTTTTCAGCACAGAGCGCTATTCGACAGCGCCCTGGGACTTCTCACCCCAGACTGGCACCTCTGGAGTACCCGCGAGAAGTCACTCAGCCAGGCGCGCTCGCCGCACATCGGCTCCACGGGGAGCTTGGCATAAGAGACGGTCAAATCCTTCTCGTCGCCGGACCGGACGTCTCAGTCCACGGTGCGTCCTGCCTCCGATCCCACTTGTTCGGCAGCAACCTGGTCAGTATCAGTAGTCCCTTAGCCAGAGCACTTATACTAACACGTGTGTTGTGCAGCCTTCGTTATTTGTCCTGACGACAAGAACACACGTCATAGCAGACCAGATCTCGGTGCCTTGTCTAGAGCATCCCGCGGAACATTCTCGTTAAGACCCAGTCCTAAAGATATGGATGGATGTTGATAGCATACATGCTTCTCACTAATTTCAATAAAAACAACGGCGACCCATGTACACCATCTGCGCGCTCGCCCTCATTGGCTGCGGCCTGGCAGGGACAGTACTCCGAGACAATGTATCGCGACAAGATGTGAAAGGCAAAGATGGCTGTGTCAAGAAGTGCCAAAAAAGGCCCTTCAATTTCTGTTTAGGAAGGATGGCTAATTAGGGGGCTTCACCAGCCGCACCCTAGAGGAGGAAGTAGGAAGATCCGAGAGAGATCTCATCGTCGCGCCTCTGGAGCTCCTTGAAACCCACAAAGGAGTTCATATGGACCAAACCCACCTTCGCTTGTGGGTAGTCTTGGCTCCCTGGTGGCTGTTCTTTCTTTGCAGCTCCCAAGCCCGCCACCGCTGCCACTGCCACTGCCGCCCACGACTACAATTATAATTCCTGCTATCATTATCACCACCACCACAACTACCACAACCACAGCCACAACTACAACAATAACAGCTGTCACCACTACAACTATAACCCTCAGTACAGCTGCCATCACTACCACAACAACAACAACAACAACAACTGCCACCACCACATCCACCACAACCACAACCACAACAATAACAATAAAAACAACACCAACAACAACACCAATAACAACAACAACAATAATAATAACAAAAGCAACAACAACAACCACTACAACTATAACCACAAGTATAGCTACCACCAACACCACTACCACACCACCACAACAACAACTACCACCGCCACCACCACCACCACAACGACCACTGCCGCCACAGCTACTCGGCCACTGCCCGTCTTCTCCCGCTCAGATACTCCTCAGACTTACACCCGTGGATATGAATTTCCATGATTTCAGGGTAATTCGTCCCCGTTACTTCTTCACTTTGTAAACTAACCCGAGGCCTAGGCTATTGCTCTGAAGAACGAGCTCCCGACCTCGAGACCACCCCCACTACATCGCTACCGCCATCACTGAGCTGGCTGAGAAAAGCACCGAGGAAAGACATATGTCTTTACACTCTCGCCTAGATGAATCCGGAGAGTCTTCTGCCATCACGCCGTTGGGGAACGGATCGACAGCTGCACCAGCTCGCTACCATCTAGGCCATTATCACCACTAGCATCAGCATCGCCACCACCACCATCACCACTACAACTGCCATTATCACGAATGAGTTTTACACTGCAGTAGTGCGTATAGTGGAGGAGCCCAAGAACAACAGCTCATGCTTCTCCGCCCCAGGAGTAAGGAAAATCAGGTTTGCATACAGCGCGGAAACAGGTCTACTAGCAAGCCCGGGGCCAACAGTTGACCTTGTAAAGGTCCCTGGGGGCTTAAAGCCGGGAGGACATTCTTTTCATGCTGTCACTCCCCCAGCTTCGTGAGCTGCCAAAAGTCTGGGCATCAGAAACGGTAAGATTCGCCTCGTCGCCGGACCCGACGTCACGACTCACGGTGCTTCCCGGATCTTTCGACTCAAAGTCTTTCTGACGGCATGAATTAGGATAAGCCTTACGTAGGCTTTGTCCCGATCAGTCAATACTGATCCGACGACTACTGCATCGATGGCGAATTCGACGACGATGACGGATTTGAGGATGATGACGACGACGCTAGCTGGAAGGTGCGCAGATGTGCAGTCAAGACCATCTATACCCTGAATCTACTGATGCTGGGGGCCTTCCTCGAGTCAAATTCCAAATAGCCGAACTTCTGGCTAGGCAAATCTTTCAAACACCAGGTGATATCCTCTTTGTCGAAGCTGTATCTCCGGAAGACTTTACTATCATTCAGAGATTTCGAGAGTCGAATAACCACAAGGATTGATTCAAGCAATATCCCGATTGTGGTTTACTCGTTATCATAATCCCAACTCACTACCATGGATGTATAAATGTATATCTCTATAGAGAGATAACTGAACAAATGACTCCTATGGGGTTAAAGGACGATTTGTTTCCCTTGCCAGGTACGGCTTTTTTTGTAACATAGACTTTTACCCAGTCGCTATAAAGAACCCGGTCATGGCTGATCATCGAAGTCGTTCGTCTAGTCAAGATACACCCTGGACCACTAAGAGAAATCGCCACTGGACGCTGGCGAGAACGGCCCATCGATTTTCCTGGCGCAAGGACTCGTACACGAGCTCAACAGCTTGAGCATGTCGTGAACAGGCTATCACCATCATCAAGAACACAGCTACAGCAAATGACTTTCCTCTCTCGTCATATCCTTCCAGCAACCACCCTACATGCTGGTTCGGGCGGCGGTGTGGCGACTGCTGGATCGTGGAATATTTAGTGGTTGGATTCACTAAAGCATTCGTACGAGGAAATGGCTTATACCGAGTATACCATGTGGACCAAATAGACAAACTGTTCAGAAGGACAGTTTTTCAATATACTGTTTGAGAATGAAACGGGGACGACCAGGGACGACCGTATGGCCGAGGACTTGATAAGAGAGCCTCGGATCTCGATTTGCGCCCACACAAAACTTTCTCAACCAGGGCAAGCTATCCCTCTTGCTATTGGTACCCTGCAGCCGCTTCCCGAGAGACAGACTGGGCGTCAGAACTCTGGCGTCCTTATAGGAGGGGAATGTGAATGAATGGAACGGCCGGATCGTCCGACAGGGCCGAGATCTGACTGCCAGACTCGCACACGAGGCCGGAGAAATTCAGTTTTCGGCCGCCTAGCCGTCGATTGACCATTCAGTTTGTCAAGAAACAGTTGATTCTTAGACCTTGTCATTTGCAAGGAGTTAAAAGGGCGTTGGAGGGTTGGCCATCTTTGTTTATTTTGCGGTAGAAACTGATGGAAACATGCACGATACCAAGAGCAAACAACCGGAATAGTTCAAACATCTGAGGAAGTTGATACTTTGTTGTCCCCTCATGGAGGATAGAGATCTCGACTGGCCAGGTATACCACACACTATTGGCGCATGTCTCGTTGAGACCTCCGCCCTGGCAAGTTGATCATCACTGGTGCTTCGATCTACTGCTGCCTCGATCTGACAATACGCTATTAAGAGGTATGGTAATGGGAGCGAGAAGCACCAATACGTCCAAACTAACGACTGGGTTGTTTCCAGCGAAGCACTTCAAATCTTTAGCTTTGTTTTATGGGTCAATACTTCACATGTTTTTTTCTATCAAAATCTCGATCCTTCTCAGAGAAATCAAGAAGAGTACAAGTCTTGCGTTGTATGGTCAAGACGTCTAATTCCAACGTGTGCAGAAGTACGATCCTGGGAGATGCACGAGCTTTGCATTGCAGGTGGCACGAATGATCTGGACCCAGAGCGTTACCTGACTGCGTGCTAGGGTTGTGGGGATTCCAAGTCGATGAGGAAATGGGAAAGTGGGAGGAGGAGGGCATATCACATGTCGGCATGTTCCAATGCTCGCCGCTACTTCCTGTTTTTTAATTCGGGATTTTCTTCACCTGTCGATATTGTTCTCATACATGAAAAATCAATGGAACAAGTTCAATTCTTACGTGTACCATAATAAAACCGACACCAACTACTATAGCACACCATAGATAATGTTTATACTTTTAGCATCTTAACGTTGTTCACACATGTTTAGCATCCATCGGAATGTCGAAAGCAGAATAGGGAACAAACGAATCCATGATACGTGCTAGTCATTTATTAACACAAGTCCTTCCCTTATATATGGTATCACATTGTCATGACTGATTGCCCCTCTGTCAAATCGACCTTCTCAGAATGTCAACACAGACAATGCTCTAGTATTGCGGCCACCATGACTTCGTGGTCCTCTCCAAAGAGTCAGAAGGCACCACATCTTCATGAGCATTCTCGACCAGCATCTTGACGTATTCATTGAACCACACTCCTGCAGGCGGAGCGCCTTCCAAGCCGCACTGCCCATCACTCTCTCCTGGGGGCTTGACCCACACGAGGCTATCAACATACTCGTTGCCCGTGTCCGTGGCTTGAGGGCGTCCGAGCCCAGAGGGGGAAACGTTGCACCACTCGCCCCATTCTTCGCGGGCGCCAGGGAGGTGGACACGACTCTGGTCGGTGATGAACCTCGCGGGTAGGCCTTGTTCTTCAAGGAACGGGGCCAATGACGAGGTGTAGTGGTCCTCGTCCCAGGATGGGCTCCATTCGGTATAGTTCTCACGGACGGTAGCTTGGAAGGGGTTGTAGTTGGACACGTTGGTCGAGAATCCGCGAACCTTGGTAGTGTTACCAGAGAGCGTAATGATTTCCTTGAATTGCGCTGCGGCTAATCGAGAATATACTGGTCAGCAACTGAGAAAAGAGAGTTAGGGGAGAGAGGACATACCAAGGGGTAGGTTATCAGCCCATCCCAGCCAGCCACCATGTGAAGCATCCAGATAGAGGTTCACATTCGGCAACTGGAGTTTGGAGATCGCATATGCAATACCCTCCTCCTGAATTGGTTTTGCAGAGGCGCATAGTGGGATACCCTGGTTCGTCACCATATTGCCAATAGCATCCGGTTCAACCACGACGGCGAATGTCAAGTCGGATGCTCTCGCTAGTCGCACTGCCCAGGCATTGACGTACTCTTCCTTGTACCGGCGAAGACCATCCCGGCCTGACAGCTCGCCGGCGCTCTCGCCTGCACTGCAGTCTCTGTCTGGCAGGTTGTAGAGCACAAGGCCGACGACCTGAGGCACCCCGCCCTGGTTTTGCTCTGCGCGCGCGACTGAGATGGCCTCGTCAAGGGCGGAGAGCGAGGCAATGTTGGAGATCCAGTAAAAGGTGCCGGTGGTCTGGACGGTGCGTGTCTTGCGTGCGTTGAGCTCGTCGCCCGCTTCCACGAAGGCGTCGAACGTAGCCTCGAGCTTCTTGCCGTAGGAATGGTTTATTGTCAGTTTGCGACCGGCGAAGGGATTATCGGAGACGGCACGAGAGACAGTAGCGGGGAAAGCTGCCGCAGGAGCCAGAGAGGCTCCCAAGGTGAATGCGGCAATAGATGTTGCGAACCTCATACTGGGCTAATTGACTGGGAGGGGCAGGAGGAAATCTCTGGTGAGAAGTGCTGATGGATTGTCACGGTCAAACAGCCAGGTTGGAGGGTTTTTATCTGCCGCTGCTCAAAATGGCGCCTTTGGAGGCCCCAACCAAAGGAGGTAGGTAGCATAGGTTCCGGATATGAGGTCCACGTTGCGAATTATCGATTTTCTCGCCGAGCCGGAGGAGAAATGATGTTTGCCGTCGGTTGGGGTGTCGAGTCTGGGCGTGGGCGTGGGGTTGTCAGGCCTGAACGGTTAGTTGACGCAGGCGTTGAAATTGATGGAGCCATATTTACTTCTCTCCATGTTGTTACCCGGAGATGATACCCGGTTCCTCCGCCTGCCTTTCGGTTGCATCGTGCGAGCATCGTGTGTCTTGAGATAAGGTCGGTGGAGTAGAGACGGGTAAGGTTGGGGTTGGAGCTTGCCGAGCACATCAGCGAGAAGACTCAGGAGAGGGATCAAGGGGAGGGGAGGAGAGGGGCTGTTCCCCGCCAAATAAGGTATGAACGTCCCTGAACGATCAACTGCACCTGCCGAGCATTTGGTATCTGATCTGGACCTGATCTGGACTTGATCCGCGGTGACTGGCACTCCAATCGTGCTCCTAGGCAAAAGCCTGTGAATCAGATACCTATATTATCGCTTCTGAGGATAAAGTATGAATGCTATTCGTGCAGAAAATAGCCGTCTAGGAGCATCCTCTCCCGGGATTCCCCACAAATCATCGGCGTAGGAGCATCCGAATTACTCTTCCCAGAGAAGAACGAACGATAATGACACGTTGGATTGTGACAAGTTCCGGATCACGAAAGAAGACCTTGGATGGTGCATTTTCTCATCTGATCTTGTACGGGCCGCCGATCCGAGCCGATTATGAAGATGCAGAATCCCGAAACGCTGCCTCTACCGTTTCCAATACTCCGATTATAGGAGGTATTGTGCCTGTGGTAGATCTTCTTATTGCATGGATACAAACAAGCATATGCCGATAATGAATATATTTTCATGTGCGAAGCGTGCCTGCATAGTGAGTAGAAGAGTTGAGAATCCATTCGTTGAGTGGTGTCTTCGGCGATAGCGACTTTGCCGTGATCATGCACTTAGACCCGTGTATCGGCGCGACATAGCAGAGATGCAGTATGGTTCAAATTATCATTTCTTTTAGTTCTGAGGGATTGTTCTAGCCCGATTATCGTCAGAGATTCTATGCGTGGTTTCCATTCATCTCGTCATAATTCCACTCGTGTCACCAAGCACTCTCAATCGCTCATCTCAGGAGCTCATCCATGTGCACCTCACTTCTCCTCTCTGATCTCACAGTGAATGTCCTCAAAGTCCCACCCGTCGAGAATGTCCTTCGCCTTGAGCGCGGCGTCGACCGCTTGCTCCCACTTGGCCGAGTTCTTCTTCACCGTGGCGCAGACAACGACGGGCCAGGCGGCCTTGTCTTGATCGGCAGAGCCTGTCTGCACAGCCTCGAGATTGACAATCTCAAGAGGGGACAAAGCTTTCCGAACAAGGAGCTGGAGCGAGTTGGCACCGCGGCCATTCCAGAAGATGACAAAGTAAGAGTGCGGTCCCACAGGGTTCACGGCCATCTCCTCCTTGGTTTTGGCCTGCGTTTTGTCGAACTCGGTGTCACTGGTTCGTGCCACCAGCTTGTAATCCATGGCGCCGTAATAGTGGCGTTTCTCCTGGAAGTTGGGCTTCGGGGCCCGCTGCCGAGGGTTGGATGCTTCGCTTGTCTCAAGCTGGGTGGGGTTTGGCTCCGTGGCCAGCTCGATTGTTGTCGGCGTGGCTTTGGCCGACTTGCCCTTCTTGTTGATGCCGGGCTTCATTGTTACGCGATGTGGTGTACTGTCTTGCACCCTGGTACTGCGAGTTCTTTCGTGTGGGAGATAGGCTTCTAAGGAAATGGATGAGTTGGTTTGGGAGAAAATTGGGCAGTATGAATTTTTTCTGGGTGTGACAAGATGAAAAGGATGAATTTGTTTGTAGAACTTGCTGTCCCAGCCCGAAATTATAGTACAGCAGAAGGCTCACGCTCACTTGAGGAGAAAACATTCACGTTGAGTGGGTCAACGCTGTTTGTTTGCTATGTTCGAAGTGTTTGCTCGTTTGAGCTCCTCACCAAGCGTTCATGTTACTGCACTCAAATGCACGCAGCATGTCGAAATGAAAGTTCTAGAACTTACCAACCACCGACCATGATCAGGGCACTGATTTCTCTCCTTCTGCAGTGATCAAATTCATACTTTGAAGCTCATAAGATAGTCTCATATGAATATCATCTGGACACATTACCTGTGATGTATCAAAAACTCGGCACTGAGAGGGCAACGGCAGTTCTACGGGGTAGAGTTATTTCTTTATTATGCAAAGATACACTTCATGTTGGGATTGAGTTGTCTTGAGCAGTGGTAGGCTAACAGGTGTAAAATTCGAGCTCCCACCTTCACTTTAGGAGTGAACACCAAGAGTGAATCTCTAAGGATGCATAGCAAAGCAAAGTAAAACTATACCGACACTAGTCATTTTGTGTCTGATCGGCCACGAAACAAAGCTTTTGTTTTTCTTTCTCTTTCCGCTTGGTTTATACAATCTTACTCGAGCCACACTTGGTTGTTAGAACGAATTAGATTATTCCGTGGCTTTGTTAAAGACGGCTACCAACTCCGTAGGTAACAAAATACAATCCACCCTTCGATAAGTGAGGTTTGCGCCCGAAATATTGTATCAAACGCAATTGGCTGATCCCTTGATACCATAATCTATCAAATAGAGAAAGGCCTTCAATGGCTATCAACATAAAAATTTCAGATATTAGACGCGTTCACTCTCTCAGCGAGCCTCATATTGGTGAATGATTCAGTTCTTCTCACTGTAACCAGATTGGCGGAAACCTTTTTGCTGGAGCTATTCAGAGCCATAAGCTTTTTATCAATTGCACTATACGATGATCGCTTATAAGATGATGCTAATCTACATAACTAGAGACGGCCTGTGGATAGCTTTTCCTGTCGATGAAGAACTCTCTTAGGCAGAGTTCCACTCTTAGAAATCTCCTTGAGCCTAGCCCGACGACTGAGGTGCTTCCCATCATCACGGTCACATATATAATACGCCAGGTCTGCCGTGTCGTCCCACTCGGTTTGCGAGAGACCATTACCCAGCCAAGCGAAGCGATTCCCGCTGTACTGAAACTCATAGTCCTCGAACCTGGGCTCCCTCAGAGCCTCTAGGAAGTGTAGAACCGATCCAGGCCACGTAATAGCCGACTGGCCCCAGTTAGGTTGGACATTGTGGTCGTTGCGGCAGGCATCAGACCAGACCATCTTCTTCGTGACTTGCGCCACGTAGGATCTAAAGTCGTATGACGCGCTCGCCTTGAGATGCATACTCTTCATTCCAGGCTCCGTTTGAAACTTGTCAATGAACGAGCAAACAAAATCAGTTTGTGACTCGAGCGCAACAATAACTGGTCCGTTGGAAATGGGTGTGAAGGGGCCGGCGATGGTGAACGAGTTGGGGCACTCGGCAACTCCAACGCCCATGTAACCTGTGATGGACGTCTTCCAATCTTCTTGAAGATTGTGCCCCTTGAAGTTGATCGGGTAGCGTGGGACAAACGACAAGTCAAAGCCTGTCGCGCAGATGATGACATCAGCCGTATGAGACTGCCCATCATCACTCACACAGCCGGACTCGGTGAAGTGCTTGACCCCAGAGTAAACAACTTGAACATTATTCTCTTTGATGGTCTAAAGGATTCCGAGCATCTGTCAGTTAATTTTCTCTCGCACTTTAGCTGCCATAGTGTCATTTTGGCCTGGAACTCACATGTAAAAATTTGTCACCGGAGGGAAGAATCCTCTTACACCCGACTGGAAAGTCGGGCACCATCGTCTTCTGCACCTCTGGGTCCACGATAACCTTTTTCATCTCGCTAGCGAGGTGCTCCCGGGCCTGGGCTTGGAGCACGGTTCCCTTCATGTACATTGCTGTCAATGCGTCAGCGCAGTTCAACCACCGGGTTGGTCGTTAAGCGACCGGCTCTCGCTTACTGAAGAAACTGTTCAGGGTTCGCTCATTAGCGAGCCGAAGGTCCATGAGGGCTTTCGGGTTATTAATAAAGTTTTGTATCTCCTCTGGCGAGAACGCCCCGGTCTTCTGGCTCGGCGATGGCAACGACCATCGAGGTGTCCGAATGAACACCTTGGCAGCCTTGACGATTGGTTGAATCGCGGGGAGGATCTGGACGGCAGAGGCCCCTGATCCTACCAGGATGATGTTCTTGTCCTTCAAATCGATTGTTTCATCCCAGTTCGCGCTATGGATCTTGGGGCCCTTGAAGGCATCGAGTCCCGGGGCTTTGGGCCATGCTGGCTTGTTGAGGTACCCCGTGGCATGAACCAGGATGTGACACCAGTCGCGCGAAATGGCCCCGGTTTGGACATCTTTGGTGACAATATCCCACTGTCCCTTGGCATCGTCCCACGTTGTCTCTGTCACAATGTGAGAAAAGCGGATGTAGTGGCGTAAATCATATTTTGTTGCAAAGTCATCGTAGTACTGTTTAAGCTCTTTCCAGCCTGCGATGGCGGCAGAGAAATCTGCCTTTGGCTCGAAAGAATATGTGTAGTTGTGTGCTGGAACATCGCACGCACAACCAGGGTAGCGGTTTTCAAACCATGTCCCTCCGACCTCCGCATTCTTCTCATAAATCTAGACTGCAGGGTTAGCTAGAACACTTTCCAAGCTAGGGTGTTGAACACTCCATACTGTGAGGTCATAGTTGGTGAAAGATCTCTGCAATTTGTACGCAAGGCAAAGACCAGAGATCCCAGCTCCTACACACACAACTTTAACGAACCGCTCATGGTGAATTGCCTCGTCCTGACTGGGGTCCATGGTGCTTTGCGACGTACAATAGTAGCTAAAGCTGCAATAGAGAAAAGCGGTCGAGGGTGTCCTGCGTGGGAGCGCGTCTGACTTTTGACTTATCTACTGGGTCTTGTTCACCGTCGTTCGATATCATGGAATCTTCCGCGCCCTGGCCGTTCTCGGTGCAACGACAGTAATCCTCATCCAACGGGCCGGTGTCGAGTCTCGATTACTCTGATGTTACCTACACTAAGTGGACTTTTGTGTCTAGGATCCATTCAACATCTAAAAGTACCAGTACATCGGTCGGCGTCGGCATTGGAGGATTTTACCCCTTACGACTCTTACGACTGCCAAGGTAACCCTGACTAGACTTGAACTCGCCAGGACTGACCCCCGTCTATTCCGACTGCCTAATGCTGTTCCGTACTCAGGATCGGTACCGTTGTACAATGTTACAATTCCCACATTCTTGACCTGCAAGCTTTGATTCGTTGAAACACGTTACGTGGAGTTGCAAGTCTACATGTCTGGAAGAATCCCGAAGAGGAGACTCTGTCCATTCCATACATTTAGAGGTACAAACAAAAAATAACGGAAATAATGTTCTAACCGAGAAATATCTAGTCCTTACAGTGCCCAATTATAATCAATACACGTATGTAGCTCTAGTGCCCCCTTTTCATCCTGATTAGCTGTATCATTACACGATTAGTACTCCCAGTCCCAGATCACCACCTCGTATCTCTGTCGAACTGTGCCTGGCGCGGCCCTTCCTCTATCTCAATGCTCGAGTGGACGGTAATTCCGTTCACGGGCCTCCCTGATGGCACTGGCGGAGTATTCTTGCCAACTATCTCCTCTTGGCTCTCAGATCCCCCAATCGTAGTCATCGGGTAGAGCTCGCTCGGCTTGCCCGCGCTGACATGGGTCCCTGATCGTTCATTGTCTCCTCGATGCTGATAATAGCCGTCGTTGCGGCTACGGCTTGTGGACTTCCCAGTTCTGGAGGTGACATAGCCGCCCTCTTCCCAGAACTTGCGACGGAGTAGAGGCGTGACGAGCGGCGCTTGCCCGACGAAGATGGCGACGCAATCTTCCCTTAAGGACCACATTGCGGAGACACCGCGTTGGTTTAACTAGGAGGAGGGCTTATTAGATGCTGCTGAAATCGATATGGATGCAATTGGACCGTTACTAACGTTGAATATAAGGACGAATCGCAGAATCGCCGCGAACATGCAGAAGAAACCCAATGCGAACAGAAAGTACACTCCAATTCGCTTCCAGAGTTTAATCTTCAGTCCAATGAGCACCTACGCGATGATGTGTTAGCAGATGTTCTCTACCATCGCCATGTATCGACAGAACCGTACCGGAAGAGGGATGAGCATGATGCAGACATCCGTGAACAGATTAAAGCTCAGTATGACGACGAAAACTGTAAAGTTCTGAGGCACGCATTGGGCTATTCGGTCGTCAGTATCGTGCTAATGAAGGCGAGCGATCTTGTGGGTTCGTTCATACGTCCAGGGTCTGGCCAGACCTGCCAGTAATGCTGAAATGGGCGACATGTCAGCGCGATTGTTAACACAATCACGACGGCAGACAAAATAACGACGGCCATGGCCGGCTTGACGAATTTCTCGGTCCACATTCGGCGGACGACACGGCTATAGAAGCAGAGCATGTTGAACTTGAGCATCCAGACGATGAAGAAGTACCCGGTGAGCCCGAACAGAAACATCTGCGAGCCGTAGGTCCATTTCGCCCTGTCCTCGTCGCTCATGTTCTTTCGCTCGTCGTACGTGAGGTCGGACGTGTGTCGGCCTTCCGCGACTTGGACGAAGACTTGGCCGATGCCAGGTGCTGCCGTCCACATGCACTATGGCGAGAAAGAGTGAATTAGTCTCTTTTCCAGGGGCATTTGGCAAGACGATGTTCAGACACTCACTGCAACACCGACAATGATGTAGTCATCTAGCTGGTAGTTGGCGAACCCGACCAGTTTAGTGCGGCAGAAGATGCGCGCACCGATCATGACGGCGCCAATGACATAAAGAAACCATATTTCCACAATCTGCCCAACAAGGGATTGGTCGCTCATTGTTCTGACGGGGCTGATGCTGCCAGCTTGATGCGCTTCGAGATCGATTTCCTCTAAGACATGTCAGGATCGCGATAGTAGCGGGCAAGGTGCGCAAAAAGAAGGCCAAGAGAACTTGGGTAAAACTCGCCACATCTTCCCAAGGGGAGATTCACATGCGAGGAGGCCTATTGTGGTAGACGGGCGTACTTGTCCTGATCAGGGGGGCTTCGGTCTCAGCGTGCGACGCCCCCTCCCATTTTCTGGACTTATTTCAGGTGAATACCTCAGCACTGCCATGATGCAACTCTACCAAACAAAGGACGGATCCATATCCCAGAGCGGAACTGGATGAGACATGAATATGTCAGTGTTCTCAATGGCAGGTCACGGATTCAAATCCCAGACAGGAATGATAGACACTATTGACAAGTTTTATGGGTCTATTGTGTCTTCTGTTTGCGAGGAATGGATCTAAATCCTCAATTAGATGGGCATATGATCCGTCTCGACTTGATCGGCATGCTCCGTCTAGTCACTCGCCTCCCCCAGGTGAAGGTAGGTCGGGGTATGGCCGGTTGGGAGACGGAAGGAATACCAAGAGCTTCCCAACGCGACGAAGTGTGTCTTGGCCTGACTACGTGCAACTTGATGCCCACATCATATTAGTCAAGGATGATGTGTGGTTGCAGTGCGCTCTCCTGACGAACCCTGTCCTATACGCTCGGCCGGAGATCTGGAAACTGAAGTGCCGTTGGAAGAGTTTTTCTTTCTCCTGTGAGGTAGTATTCGGTACGTCCTCGGTCCACACACATAAGCACGGTAGATTAAGACGGACAGAAGTGCAACGCTGTGCCGCTGCCGAGATAATTGTACGGTATCCTCACTTATTACTATACATAGGGCATGCCGTGATGATCCTCCGCTCGAGAAGTTTATCCAGCGGGTCTTAATATCAGACCTACCCCGGATTGGCAGGTATTAGAATCTCAGCAGAGTGCGAAAGAGGGAAAAGAGTGCGGCCGGAGAGCCGAGAATTAGTTTTCTCATTAATAATGGCCAAGACATGGTCAGATACTACGCAGGCGTCGCGGCATATTGCCCTCTGACCTGCTCAATGCACTACCCTGGCTCGCGGGGAACCGGGGACCGCGTCTTGATGCCTGTCTTCTACATGGTCATCTTCTCGCGGCCCCTGCTGCTTACCCGTAAAACAAATTCCCACTTGGCGTGCGGAAAGGGACGTGCCTGATACGCCCCTCCTGACAGCGATGGGACCATGTCAGACTCGAACGACTTCAGAATGCTTACGGTAGGTAGATGATGACACTAACCTCTGTCACTCTCTCCCCACTCCGGCACTGTCCAGATGCGACGGAAGAAGAGGTCAAAGGTCAATTGTTGGAGCCCTGTTGGCTGGGGAGCGCCAGTTGGAACGCCACCACCAGCCATGTTTCATTTGTTGGCTGCAGGGTCTACATTGTTGGTTGGTCCAATATTGATTGATCCTACAAGTCGGGATATTTAGAACCGTCCTGTTGGTTGTTCTCTTGCGTTTGTAAGTCATTGTGTCTCTTCTGTTTTCATCTATCCTCCCCCTTTTTCATCTTCCACATTCATCACACTCCAGTTTTGACCAGTCTTTGCACCTACTCACAGCAATCATGGCTACCCCAATCAAAGTTGCCGTTACACAGGCTGAGCCGGTCTACCTTGACCTTGCCTCTTCTATCAAGAAGGCAATTGGCCTTATTGCGGAGGCCGCCGGGAACGGCGCAAAGCTGATTGCATTCTCTGAGTGCTGGCTCCCGGGTTATCCCGCATGGATCTGGTTAGCGAAACTTCAACTCCGTTGAGGCGTCCTCCTTCTGTTGCTGACATTTTATGAAAGGGCAAGATCCGTCGACTTTGAGCTCCAAACTCGATACATTTACAATGCCCTGCCAGTGGACTCCGATGCCATGGGCCTGGTCAAGGCCGCCGCCAAGGAGCACTCCATCGCCGTCGTCCTCGGATTCGCAGAGCAGAGCCCCTCCCACAGCGTGTACATCTCCCAGGCAATCATCTCCCCCCAGGGTGATTTGTTGATGCACCGCCGCAAGGTCAAGCCCACGCACATGGAGCGCACCATCTTCGGTGATGGAACCGGCGCCGACCTCAACAACGTAGTGGAGGTTGACTTCGGTCCCGAGCACGGCAGGATCAAGGTGGGATGCCTTGCCTGCTGGGAGCACACGCAGCCTCTCCTCAAGTACAACAGCATCTCCCAGGGGGAGACGATTCACATCTCCATGTGGCCACCTATTGATCCCACCACTGGCGTGGACCACCCCGGCCTCTGGAGTATGACTGCCGAGGGGAGCCAGAACCTTTCCCAGACATACGCCATCGAGAGCACGGCCTATGTTCTCCACTGCACGTCCGTGTGCACGCAGAAGGGCATCGATGTCCTCCAGACCCAGAAGGGCCTGGCCTGCTTCCAGCCGGGTGGTGGTCACAGCTGCGTGATCGGCCCAGATGGCCGCCGTTTGACTGAGCCTTTGGGAGACGGCAGCCCGGCTACCGAGGGTATTGTGTACGCCGACCTTGATCTTGCCAAGGTTGTAGCAACACGGGGATTCATTGATATTGTTGGACACTATAGCCGACCAGACCTCCTCTGGCTGGGCGTCGATAGAGAGCCCAAGAAGAATGTCATCCAGTCGCGCCCTAAGCCTCAGGAGAAGGAAGATCGTGAGGAGACAGCTTAAGATGTACATCCATAGATGCAAATTCTGGTAATCATAAAGTAGTAATTATTATCACCTTCTACCCTCCACAATTATGATTCTAGCCTCAATACTGGAGCTCTTTTCTCATAGCCGATTCTCTTAGTCAATTATCATATGAATCCAAGGCTCTCTTCATGTTTCTGTTGTCACATATCTCATCTTGGCAGCACCGGAGTTACGAGTTATGAACTGGAGGCCGCCTTACATTGAGGTGAATAAGCACTCGGGTACTCTTGTCGTCCGCGGACCTGTCCGGGTTGCTCCGTTTCCAAGGATACGCTCCCCCGTTGCTAAGCTGCATTTCCCCTTGCACCCCTGGCATCGTCACCCATGTAAGGTCAATGCCTAGGAAGTACATACGAGCTGGGCAATCCATGCAAATCACCAAGGTCCCATCTGTATTAGCTCTCTCCAAGATGGGCATGTAGTTTCTCTGCATTAGGATACATGTCGCGATGGGTTGTACTGGTACATTGGATACGCCGTCGGCGAAGCAATCCCCAAAGAAGAAAAAAGATCTTCGCGGCACCAAATCGAACCATGTCAAGAGGTCACCTTCTTCATAGAGAATATGTGACCCAGCTAGGAGTGCTTACTCAGGAAGCATTAACTTATTCAGTAGTGACAGGATCCGCTGCAGGCAGGAAGTAAACAGTCTTTGTGCATAGCATCCCGAATGTTGTATCAAAGGAACAAAACCATACTTAAGTACCATTTCTCTGAAATGGCGCTATTCTCACACCGACGGATGTTGCCAGACCCAGGGGAATATCTTTCAGGATCCAAGTAGTAAGTCCGAAGAACGGAGCGAAGTTACGAGCCTGGTCGTATCGCCTAGACTCAGAGATGTCGGTGTTATTAGTTCCCCTCGTATATTTACGAGTGACGGATATTCTTCATGAAGGACAAATTTTTCCCATCGAAAAATCCTTTAATTGACAGCTAGAGACTCAATCAGTATTGAAGAATGACCGCTTTGACCAATCAACCCGTCAACCGGCCTGAAACATGGCAGTGTACCGAACCAAGTCATGAAAGCCTTGCCAGCTTCTCCGAGCATCAGTGGTATCGTACGGCAGGCTACTTGCTAGCAAGCTTGCTGCAAAACGCCGGATATAGCCAACAGGCTCAGCTCAAGATACTGGGCGAGTTTGCGGAGATAATCGCTCCTTATCTAGGTTTACCTCCTGGACTGAGTACACATCGCTGGCAGAGCTTCATGACTGACGACCACAACCCAATCGAACTCAGCTGGGACTTCCACACGGGCACTCAACAACCGACGATACGATACTCAATTGAACCCATTGGCCTCGATGCGGGAAGCGCTACCGATCCCAACAACGCGAAAGCCCCGTTGCTATTTAGACGATCGATACTGAAAGCATTCCCCCATGTCGAAACGGAGCTTTTTGAACATTTTGAAAAGACTTTTGGCAACCATTGGGAAGATGGTCTTCCCGAAGGCCATCGGTCAACGATATTTTGGGCTTTCGATCTCAAGGAGGGCCAAAATACTGCCAAAGCCTATTTCTTCCCGGGGACCGTAGCCCAAGCGACCAACAAGTCCAACTTGGAGGTCATACACGATGCCATATCGTCCGCGCCAACGTGGAAGTTCTCTGATCTGAAACCCTTACACACTTTCATCAGCTTTGTAGAACAGCATAATGAACTGGCACTCGAAGTCGACATGCTGGCTCTAGACCTCGTCGACTCGGTACAATCCCGACTGAAGATCTACTTTCGTTGTCGTCGAACAGATTTTTCCACCGTCCGCAAGATCATGTCCCTGGGGGGCGCGATTGAAAGCCTAGACGACGGCTTGGAGAAACTGAGGGCTCTGTGGGACTCATTACTGGGCACGCAAGGCCAGCCGGATGACATGCCACTCCCACATAACAACCACCGGACTGCCGGCATTCTGTTCAACGTGGAGTTCAAAGTGCAAAGCACGACCCCCAAAGTGAAGCTATACATTCCTGCTCGCCACTACGCAAAGAGCGATCAGCAAGTCATCAATGCCGTGACAGGTTACCTCAATGGCGAGGCGAAAAAGCTTGGGCAATCTGATTTGACTAGGAAGTACGCAGCTTCTTATGCATCGTGCCTGTACAAGGTTTTGTGAGTCCAGCACATCCTTTGCTTTTTAGACTATTTATGAGAGATGCAAGTTGCTAACATACTCATAGCAACACATACAGTCTATCTTCCTCACTTGGAGTTCACACATACATCGGATGCTCCGTGCAAAACGATGGGAACTTGCGTGTGGTCACTTACTTCAACCCTCAGCAACACAAGTTCCACAACGATGGTTATGCTTAGTTTATGATGAGTAGTAGTTGGATCTCATTATCGTACAGTTATGTTTTAGAAATTTGTGCCGAATTAGACTTTTTCTCCTCCTACTCCTTGCTCTCGGTTCTTGCGCTGCATTGCCTTGGCCTCAATTGAAGAATCCACCACACTCCCTAAGGTCTCTGCAGCCACTGCACTCCTTAAGGTCTGCAGCCACTGGACTGCACTCCCTAGGTAAGGTCTCTGCAGGCACTGCACTCCTTAAGGTCTGCAGGCACTGGACTGCACTCCCTAGGTAAGGTCTCTGCAGGCACTAGACGTGTTTTGGTGTGCTTGCATGGATCATGGACGCCACACTCCACTCAGTGGTGCTTTCAGCCAATCACATCAAGGTCTGGTGGAGCACACCTCAAGTGACCAGCCAGTCAGACGTAGGCAAGGCAGAGCATGCAGCGGCCAACTGCGCGACACGGTCATTCAAGCGTGCACTCAAGCGTGCATGACCAGAGAGTCTTCATGTTTTGTCCGCCGCACCAATGCCCTAAATGACCTTGGAATTTTAAAAAAGGTGACTGTGGGATAATTCAAATGTTTCAGAATGAGGGAATGTGGTTTTAAGTCTTATTCTATCTCTTTTACCGCAGTACAAAAAGAAGTTGCAAGAACTTGGTGTCTCATCGCTCATGTCGCCAACTTCAATTGACAACTACACCCAGTTGCAGCCAACTTGCAAAACTCAATTGTAGTCTATTGCCGAAAAATTCCCCGCCTACATTAGGCATCTTGCCGAGCTTTGGACACGCTAATGCACCACCAACGAACTTCATCACCTCATCCAGATTGAACCAAGGTCCCGAGATGTTGCAAGGGAAAGCCGACGTCGTAGGCACCCCGCCCTGTATCTGCATGACCTGTCGCAGAATTTCGAGCGCAGACACGGTCAATGAGTAGTAGCATCCTTAGCGCCTTGAGGAAAGAATTTTGCAAAACACTTGACACGAGCTTGCTACAATGACCATGTTTGGCCCGTGGCTGATTGAAGCTCGTGGCAATCTCATTTGGTTCCCAACTCCTGTGTAGTAATTAGCACAAAAAGGTCAGGCTAGGCGTGTTATGCTGGATGTATTGACAGAGCTTGACCAAGGAAGCCACCCAACTCAAAGTGACTCGCGGTACTTTTGTTGATACTTGTCCATCTCCCTGCTTTCGTACTCTCTGATTCATGGCGGTTGATTATTCGTTGTAATCGATTCCTCAGATGGCTATCAACGCCGTCATCACTTTGCTGGCAGTCACTCTTGTCGTGATATCCCACTTTCTCTTCTTCATAATTGAAACTATAAGTCATATCTGCTCCAGACCCGCGCGCTTGGATGAGCTTGCATGTAAGGTCGACGAGACCTTCAATTGTAGGCTTTTCGTGCTAAACACACCCAGAAAATCTATGGCCCTCGCGAATGAGTAATGAGACCATAAGCCCCGGCAGTTTTGTTTCTTTAACAAAATTAATTCAAGTAACAAGTGAAACTCCCCTCATGAAATCGCGTGCTTCTTTTTTCATTGCAAATAAGTTGAGCCATACCCCTCTAGGGTCACATGTTGGTTGACTGATGGTCGGTCTTAAAACCACCAATTGATATCTGTCATAGCACTCTAGTTGCCATGTAGTTGTAGGAAGACATCCCATAGGGGAAATAGTTCCAATAAATATACCGATAGTACGTCTTGAGCATGCTATAACCGTTAAACCAAATGCAAGCACAGAAACGTGTTCCATCATCTGCCAGCACATCGGTGCATTTCAAAAGTGAGAATACGAGGCCATGTATCTTTATGACTTACAAGGTCTTATCAGATTCTGTCTAAAGTCTTAAAAAAAGCCCACTCAGGCCAAAGAGTAGGATATACTTGTTGATAGCAAAAAGGAGCATGATCACCTCCCCGGCGTTCATCCTATATCAAATACAGTCTACGGATTGCTGGCAGATTGGGTTATGTCTGATCGTTGCGGGCAAAACGACCGTAGCGTTGACCCAAACTACAAGCTCTGTCCCAAGTCCAAGAATACAAAGCGCCCATGTACTGAGTACAACACCTGGTACAATTCTGATGAGGAAAGAAAGGAATCTCTATATGGGGAATTGAAAGGAGAAATCAAGATACTCGGATAGGAAATCGAGTAACTGCGCAGGCAGATTCTGAATTTGTGCCTTGTCTGTAGCCGGGCACATGACGATGCTACATTGCAACAAGGCGGCCGGCCATCAGCATAGTTGTTCTTGATGGTAACTCAAGGGCAAATCAGTGGTAGTCTACGCGTGGCCAGGAGCCTTTGAGTCGGGCGCAAGGGAGGAGGAACTATGGAGATCAGCAAGTTAATCGTTTGCGGATAGATGATAGCGAAATACTAATTGTGGTGAAACTAATTGAGAATATAAAATATCCGTTGAGGTTGAATAATATTTAGCTTCCAGAAATAAAACCAAAATCTAGTCCATAGAAATCATATTTTCCTCGGTTGCCGGCATGCTGAAATTGCAGTCTTAAATGCTGCTTGGCTGTTGAAACCGGCCTAGCTAAGAGGTCTTATGAGCCTGTTCAAGTTTTTATACCGATTATTCGGTCTCAGTGCTTGTGCCTCCGGTGTCTTGGACTTGATGAGTTGCCAAAAGCTTCCCTAGAAGAGTAGGTATAGAGCTATAGCTTTGACTTCCTCTCTATGCGACCAGTATTTAACATGTTTTCCAAAGGAGTCAATTATCACTTCAGTCCATCCATTAGCTTCCACCTCGTGTGTTCAACCATCTGAGCTGGTGTAAGCAACTCGTGCACGTTTTCTAAAATTTGCGTCGTAAGAAGAGTATGATTCCGCACTCGACATATGTATGCGGAACTTGCAAAGTCTAGGATTCGTTGATATGAGTACATATTAGAGACCGTTTCAGCAAGCCATGCAACTTCTATTGTTTCTCGTGCAACTATCTCTTGGTCTTCATGTAGTGGATTAGTTGAGCCTGAAAACATTCACCATTTTATTGACATGTCGGGTCTGGCATCTTCTGTTGTTGTTCATCAACTATGCTCAAACTCTCTTACGCTATTGCTATTAATAACTTCTCACTATACCATGTTCAGCACAAAGGCCGAATGCGCGCGTATTCGACTGATCCCCACCTTCATCGACGCTCGACAGGCCATCAGCAGATGGCGCTGAGCGAAAAGCGTCATAGCGCGATGAATTCGGACCGCCCCAGGTCAAGCTAACAACGACCATCGCAAGGCTAAAGTGCCAATTGTCGGTTCTAGCGGCTTGAGGCTGGGGCTGGGGACCGGCCTGCTGCATGGGTCGGCCCCGAGTCTCCAACTGTCAGCCGAAAGGCAAGACGAGAGGAAGAGAGTTGTGGTGCGGTTTCCAACAAGTTGCCCGAGTCTCTATGGCCATTGACGATACCATTAGATCACATGAGCAGCGAAGGACAAACGCAGCAAAGGAGAGTGTGTAACCGACAACCGTCTCCAGATGAGAATCAGCGTGGAATTGAATCTAAATTGAATCTTCAGCCCAGCATCTGAAACCACGAAGGATTCGCGGGAGCCCTAAAGCAGTAGATGCCGAGCTAACCCCCACCTTGCTGCATCTGAGATGAACAGCACTCACCAGGTGTTGCAATGCAGATAAATTAATTGCGCGTCTGATTTGCATTCATTCCAAAGAGCATCCCCCCCTCTTCAACGATCCGGACGGAGCAGATCCAAGTCGTGGTGGTAGGCGTGAGGCTCTACGAAACCCTCGATGCGCCTTCAAGATGACGGATACAGCTTCCAACGACACCCCGGCCGCCGATCCGCCTCCCGGAGTCACCCCCAACTTTGTGAACCCGCCATCGCTGCACTCGGTGAATCTGGGCGTCAGCATCGCCTGCTTGATCCTCATGATCGTTGTGGTGGGTGTTCGGACATATACGAAAGCCGTTATCCTTCGAGACATGCGACATGAAGACTGTACGTTGCCCCGTTCCACTCGCATCGCTACTTTGTTGCTGACCTTGATTGTGATTCAAGATGTTGCGCTCTTGGTTTTGGTAGGTGATTGAGCCCAGTTTGAGCCATGCAAGCCCCTAATATGTGCCGTCACAGTTGATTTTCTTAGCCTGGGGTCCCATATACACGTACCTCTCCTCTCTCGGGCTGAGTCGAGATCTATGGAATATCAGGGAGATTGATATGCCTCCGTTACTGCGTGTAAGTAGGCCAATACCCGATACCCAACTGTTCTAGACGGAGAAGAGAGGCCAGCACTTAACAGAATATTCAGCTGTGTAATGACTTCCAGCTCTTATACTCGCCCGCAATGGGCCTTGCCAAGTACTTCATCTGCGTCCATCTCAAGAGGATCTTCTGTCCCTCTAATAGAGGAGCTGTGCACTGGGCGCTGGTGGCCCTGATTACCATCAATGTCATGTTTTACATCACCACTTTCTTTGCGCAGATGTTCCAGTGCATCCCCCGCGAGAAAATCTGGAGGCCCGACCTTCCAGGCTCATGCATGAAATCGTTCGTTGGGATATTGGCGATTGGCGTTGCTAACCTTGTTCTTGACCTGGGTATCTTGCTTGTTCCCATTTGGGCCATCTGGAAGCTTCAAATACCCGTGAAGCGCAAGCTAGAAGCCTACGCGGTGTTTTCGCTGGGCATCCTGTAAGTTGCGATTCTGACTAGCCAACCCATATAGCTGAAGCTGACAACTGGGACAAGCACGTGCATCATAGCGGCAGTAAGCATTGCGTTCCGCGTACCAAAAGACGACAACGCAAATGCCGTCCTGCACATGGCCAAGGTCGGTCTTTGGTCGTGAGTAGTCAACCGTTTCCCCAAATGATGCTATATATCTAACGAGAGAAACAGATTCGCTGAACTCACGGGAACCATGATTGTCGGGTGTATACCCTTCTTTCCCCTGTTTCTGCAACACTTTAAAATAATCAAAGTGTCTCAATTGAGTGTTGGATCGAGCTCAAAGACTCCTCCTGGGCAAAGCCAGGTTGTACGAGATGGAGAGACTCGGGGAATGCAGGGTTCTGAACACATGCGATCTAGATCACAGGAGCACATATTTCTCGAATCGGGTTCTGATCTAGAAGAAAGCAATGGCCATAGCTTGCACACGATTGAGCTAGGAAAGGGAGCCTCCAAGTCACCAAAGAGGTCATCATACCAGGTCATCTAGATTGATAAAAATATGGAGTTAATGCCATTCACAAAAAGGACGTCTCTCAGGAGGTGTTCTTAAATTATCGTGCTGTTCTCAGCACTTTGGAAACACTCTAGGCTTTGATAAGGGCATTCTGCTTATTGGATCTTCATATGCAAGGACAGCGAGCACAGACGTCATAGTGGCCTCGTATAGCGATCGGCTGGTCGTATTATCCCTACCATCAAGGGTAATGTTCCAACGTGCTATTTCTTCCTTTGTCTCCTTTTCCTATGTCGTACAGGAGCTACAGAAACTGCCTGGAAACTATTGAAAAAAAAAATTAAGAAATAAGACAGCAATGAGTGGCAATCACCGTGATGATACGTGCACAAAGGAATCACGTGCTCCCTTTCCTCGATTGGCAGAGTTGCGGTTGAGCATAACGCGACTTCAGTAAATTGAGCCCCACCTAGAGCTGAGATCGAGATTGCTTGGGAACGATCATCTTTTTCGCTGACAGCTCCTAAACAGCCAAGAACAAGCAAGCATGGCCTGAACGGTGGCCTGGCAAACAAAGAGCCAGTGGTCGACACTCACTGTGAGACACGCGGCACAGTCGGCATGAGCTGAGGCATGAGCTGTACAAGCGATATTGTGTAAATCCGACACAAGCGACACAACGAAAAGTCCAAAACGTAAGCGCCAAGTGTACCGCCAAGATGCTTGGCCTGGATTATGCACGCTCGCTGGGCAGACGGCAGACTTGTGGCCGGCGAGTCGGGCGCAGGTCCCTCCTGCTCAATGCCAATCCAAATATGGGGTAATAATTCTGATTGCCGTCGCACGGTCGGATCCCTTTTCTCCCCTCCCCATCTCGCGATACGTTCGTCCCAGCCGCAGGACACAACCACCGATGCGAGCATGGCGGCCGACGATGTCGAGATGTTGCCGTATCCCTCCAAGGCCGGCAAGGGACAGCAGCATGGGCCGCGATACCGGCTGCCTGTGATCAGCGGTCCTGGTGGGCGACAGGCAGCCGCTTGGATCGTTCGCCTCCCCGCCATTCGAATCATTCTGGCTGCCATCGTCGTCATTCTCCTGACGGGCACCTTGAGCTCGGTGAGGCCCTGCCAATCCCTTCCAGAACGAGGCAGCATCGTGCTATCAGCAACTAACCTACTTCTTCGTCGCATCAGGGCATCGGATACGAGCACGACTTCACGCGCCCGATCATTGACGACAATGGGATGATCTCGTTTGGGCACCAGCCCGAGCCTTTCGAAACCGACGCGACCCCTGGCGATCGTCGTCTCGTTCTCGTCCTCCCCGCCGACAAACCAGGCTTGTCCGTCTGCAAGGCCGTCACCAGCGCCCTCGCTCTGGGCTACCCGATGCCCGTCCTGGTGAACTGGGGTGCCGACCCCCGCGACCGATGGGGGAACAAGGGCGGAAGCAACCTTTTGAAGATCACGGGCGTGCTCGAGTACCTGGACGAGATGCTGGGAGGAGAATCCCTCGACGGACACCGATTACGGCCCGAAGACTTGGTTGCGATGGTCGACCCGAGCGATGCCTGGTTCCAGCTCCCCCCTGAAGTGCTTCTCGCACGATACCACGAGGGGAATGGCAAGGCGAACAAGCGGCTGGAGAAGGAATGGGCCGGCCGCAGCGGCGAGGAGATGCCCGTGAAGCAAACCATCATTGCCTCGGCGCAGAAAAGATGCTGGCCGACCCAAGACATGGGCCCCGACCTGCACTGCGACAAGCTGCCTGCCAGTCCCGCCAGGAAGGACCTCTACGGCTCCAAGACCGACATCGAGCAACCCGAAGACGAGTCGAGGCGATTCCACGACTTGCGCCCGCGGTTCCTGAACAGTGGGCTCATCATTGGTCCTGCAGCCGACCTGCACAGATTCTTCCGTCGAGTCAAGGAGAAGCTGGACAGGAAGTTGGGCGAAGGGGAGCGCTTCATCCAGACCGACCAGGGCATCTTTGCAGAAGTCTTTGCGGAGCAGGAGATCTACCGGCAGTGGCTCCTGGAGCAGCAGAAGGAGGGCAAGCCGGCCTTCCCTACTGGCGAGGGGTCGGACATGCTCGACGACAACTTTGAGTTCCACGTTGGTCTAGACTACGGGCAAGTCCTGTCCGCGCCCACTAACCACGCCGAGACGGACGGTGACTTTCTTCTCCTCGACGATAAAGCGCACATCAAGGGACGATCCAAAGACCTGAAGATTAAGAAGCCACGTCTCACTGGTGTCCCACCCGACCTCAAGGACGTCAGAGTTCCAACGGGAGTGACCGGCAGTCTGCACTGGGGGAACATGTCGCTCTACGCAGACTTTTTCTCTGGCTCCGTGCCCGTCACCTTGCATCACGATGCCTACCGAGACGGTTTGAAGGCCAGGGTGACAGAGTGGTGGGACCGCGCCTGGTTCTTCCCGCAACTGCGAGAGCTGCTTTCCCTCCGGCTCAAGGACGTGCAAGACCTTTCTCCATTAGCCACGCTGCCTGCGGGCAACGAGGACAAGCTGGTCTACTGGCCCCTGACCGCAGATCTGACGGGCCATCGCCCACGGGTGTTCAAGGCCGACTTGGATAGCCCTGGCCTTGGCGAGATTTCGTTCGAGGACATGTGCCGACCGCGCGGGGAGACTCCCGATGTGAAGACGCACTGGTATGATGAGGTTTTCCGGGACGGAAAGGGCACCTTCAGCGTATGAGGTTCAGTTTAACGGCCGCTTGTTCTTGTTTTGATAAATTGTAATATACATAATAGACATGAGAGACACGGACGAATTTGGAGGAGAGCCGATCCTCACATGCATCTCGGCGGGCCGGATTAGTATCATTAGATATAATGCTTAACTTTGTTACTGGTGGTTCGGACACAAACTTTCTTCTTCCTTCTTCCGTCTAGACTGTGAAATGTGTCATCATCAATCGACGGCGTCATGCTCTGCTCCCCCAACTTTTCAGTTTACTCTGATGTGATGTATCTCAAGCCGAGCCTCCACCAAGACATCAAGAGCGACATCACAATAGTTAAGTGATTAATCTTGAAGCCTTCGCCAGCTAAGAGGCTCCTGTCTTTCGACGTAGAGCATTCGAGTTTGAGGGTGTATTCAACGCCATGGCAAGATCCTCAACGTCTCATACCTCTCTAGACGTGCGGGATTGATGCGGATATCGTACTCAGAGCACTGCTCATGCTGACCATCAGAGATGAGAAGAACTAGCAGCATCAGAGCAGTTGGACAGATGTTGATGCTACTGTCGATAGCAGAGAGAAAGAGGAACAGGAAAATTCTGGAACGAAGGTCTAGTCGTCTAAGAGACGGGCAAGAAACCTAACTGCAGCAGCGTTACCCAAGTGTAGTGGAAGTACCAAGGGTGTTTACGATTCTCTGTAGGACGTTGTAGAGGGAAAAGTCCATGTATGCTTCATGGTTCGTCCCATAAAAGCCTCGTCTTGTATCATTTTTGGCATAGTGGTTATGGGGGAGACGGGACAGACTAAAGTAACAAATAAATAAATATCATTTCGAAATCTCAATCTAGTATTCTATAGTCATGCCCATGAGGGTGGCTGGAATCATATTAAATGCCTTGTACCTCGAGGTCTTTTGTAGTTGTATACCTCATACACTGAGGTCTTTGCTCCTCAAATATCAAAACCAAATATAACTTGGAACTTCTTAGAATTCCCTTGAAGGGTTTTCTGCTTCTTTCTCTTCTTCAGACCATTCATAATAGCCATTGGCTATTACCGGTGATCAAAATCGCAGACCTTAGATATCCAGGTCTCTGGAAACCTTCCGTCATTCTCAATGTAGCATCTCCATTTTCTTCACTGTTCAAGATTGGAACGAGGAATGCGGCGGAGACCTCGAACTCGCTTGAGCTCTTCCTCAGCATTAATCTCGGCAAGGGTGAGGGGGTGCATCAAAAGATGCCGAAGCTCTAGATGTTTGAGCAGAGTTTGTCCGCGGCTGATCTGCATGGCAAGCTCTGTCTCGTTGATTCTCTCCGTGCGGATGGCTAACGGGTGCTCCAAGATATTGGCCATAGCATCGACCCAGCTCTTGACGACGGTGCGGCGGAGAGAAGGGACATCCAAGTGGGAGGTGCTCCAAGTGATTGAAGCCCTCCTGGCTTCGCGGTCCATCTTGTATCGGAAAATGTGGCCAATGTCCTGGCTGACGCCCCAAAGCTCCATGACACGCAGATTTGGGCAGGCGGGAAGGATCTCCGATGCCTGCTCGATGGTATCCATTAAAGCAGTAGGATGTTGGCAAATGTAGTAAGTCCCGCCATTGAATGACTGGGGGGATAGGCTCAGCCGCTCCAAGCTTTGGCACATCCCTGGGATGGTCATCTCAGCGAGGATATGGTCCGCGGTACCAGTGCAATTTGTTGCGAAATCGGTCAAGTGTTGGAATACATTGACTATACCTGCAGTGCGGAGCATCGATCCACTCTGCCACCGATCAAGAATACTGTGGAAACTTGTCCATCTAGTGAGCGACAGCTGGCGAATAGAACGAGGAAGGTTCGGGATTAAACCTTCAGCTTGTTCTAGGTTCGATTGGTTAGCGTGGTAATTGAATCGCGGAATCACTCTGGATACGTACTGTCACGATGATGACTCTCGGCCAGAGGGTCTAGACCAGCTCGTCTCTCGTACCGGAACGATGTCAAGTTTGTGAGGCTCATAAGGACAATGTGAGTGACAGCGTATACTCCAATGATCCTGAATCCCTGTCGGCGAATGAAGAAATGTTCCACGATAGGGACGCTCGGGAGATCCGGGACGATCGTGAATTCGGGGTCTCCATCATCAAGACTGAGAGGATAGCCGCATACTCTGGCCTTCTCCTCTCTCTTGTTCGCTTGGTCGTAATGCTCTTCGCTTGGACAGATGTGACGCGTACTCTTCCAGATGTTCCGATCATAGTACTCCAACAAGTTCGGAGATCTCTGCAGGTCTCCTTCAAACCGGAAGGGGTAGTCTTCCTCTTCTTCACAGAAGAAGAAGCGGTGCTCGTTGTCACTTGGTGAAAAAACGGCAAGTCCGAGAGATATTCCCTTCTTCTTGATTAAGTGCCAACGAGAAAGCATACCAAGCAGCTCTATCACCTGATCTGTGAACGCTATGTTGTTTCTGTTGAAGGTTAGTTGACCATAGGTTACGTTTCGGTAAAGTCGAAGAAACGAGGAAGGCAAGGCTGTGATATAACTTACAAATACATATTTTCGCCATCGCCATCATTATCTTCTGACAACAGACACTGTGGAAATTGGTATTCTGGCAGCTTGATGCGAAATATCACTGCCTCGACAGCAGCCAACTTGGTTCTATTTGTTGTCACGGTCGACTCAAACGTACGGAGAATATTTTGATCGAGGACCACGTGCTTGTAAAGGCGGCCTTCGAAGAAGTACTGCCATTCTCGGCAGACGCGAGCCAGACGCGGTAGGTTGCGATGGCCATCGCGGGCAGCTATCTCCTCCAGGATTTGGAGCCGAATCTCCTGTGGCAGCTTCTGCCAGCTCATGATTGCTGTGAGGGCTGATTTTGCTCTTGGCTGCCGGAGAGGAGATTGTCTGGAGGCGGAGGAGGGGGAGGTTGGAAGGAAAATTTCGGGATGAAGGTGGGAGAGGAGGACGAAGCGTTGGGCGGAGCGGGAAGGCGGGGAAGGGGACAGGGTATGTAGGTCGTTATTAATTTTCACAGAGGAGTGCAAAGCTAGGACCAAGTTAGAGTATAGAAACCGCAGGATAGGAACTTTATAGATATTTAAGATATCTATTAAGCTTTATTAGTAAGCTTACCAGACTCTATACTATTTATACTAATAATACTCACTTAATTAACTATATATAATAAATATATATCTATAGATCTATTTCTAATCCCTGCTGCTTTTAACTACGAGCTTCGGAGATTCTTATTATATACTTATAGGTAAATTCCTTATATAGGGTAGATATATTACGAGTATAGGGTCAAGTGATCGGACCCTGTGTGATTTTGGCGCTACTGCGTGACATTAATCAAATTAGGGCTTATCTGCTACCCAAATAAAATCTTTGGGTAGGCACCTAACATAGAGAGTTGCCTACTGTGAGTACTGGACGTATTAGATGATGTAGAGTTGAAATAAGGGCTGGCTGACCATTGGGTAGTTCGGGCTTATTTTCTTACATTATGCACGTATCTGGCACATGAAACCTCGCTATTCTAATAATTCATATCACTTACGTATGGAATTTAGCACTTCGAAATTCTGGTATTTCGTATACTTTACGCTTGGGATTAAACATGGCGGAGCGATCTGCCCGGTAAATAATTAGATTACTTGCTATTCTGAGGTTGGTTCGGTTTTGTAACACAAGGACGAAAGTAATAGTGAATCCACTTGAACTTCCAATATCAAGACCCAGTCTAAGATATCGAGCCTGTAAGCTCTATTGCTCTTTGGGAGATCTTGTGCTCGGCCTTATCCATATCAAGCCCCAGTTGCTTCATCGATACCAAGGCAATGAGAACGAAACAGGCCGGTCTATCTAGAGCCGGCTCGGCAATCGCCAACTCGTCTCATGTTACTTAATCCTAGATGTATGTAGGTCTTGCCATCGACATAAGCTTCCATCTGACTACCGATGGGACCACATAAATACCAGGAGAAGCTATTTGTCACAAAGACAGGAAAGCATCGCTAGGCCATATACATTCACTATCTAGGATTTCCCTCTAGAATTGCTAGCTATGAATGAGGCACTTGAGTGCTCTCAGAAGTTCTCTCTTAGAATGATATCCTATCCTAGGACATCAACAAAACTACCTATGTCTGGGAACCTCCCCGAAATTCCTCGATTTCCTCCCTGGGGATTGATCTCCCCTTTCTGTTACTTATAGAGGGATTCCTTCCTTTCCTCGCCAAGGTTGTACTAGGTGTCGTGCTCGGTACGTGGTCGCTTCCGCTTCTTGGCCTTGGGAGGTGGCTCGAATGCAGCGTTATCCGGGGATGAGGGAATGGACTGGGCATCATCGCGCTCGTTATCCGGAGTCAGAGTTTGAGGCTTGTAGTTAGGGTCTGCGGTACCATCGCTTCGCCTGTTGTCCGTCCAAACATTGGCGAAGAAGTGTGACGTGGGGAATGAAGCGGCACATTCTGGTGTGCAAAACAGACGTCTCAAGAGTCTGCTTGTAACATCTTTCATTGCTGTTTAACTTTATTCTGCTTGAGACCATTGGCGTAGAACAGGTAGTTGGCTTGTTTAACTTGGGAAGCCATATTCTCAATAGAAATGACTGCTTTAAAGAGGAGCAGTTCGACGGGAATATCACAGTTAACAAAAAGGAAAGCCGTTGGTTGGCTATCCTCATCCCAAAGTGCGATTCGTTGGGAAATGGCGATCGCAACCACGGCTGCCTCTGGCTTCGCTGGAAGGTGTTAAGACAACGGCTGTACTTTTGACCAACTGCAATGCTCTCATCGAGCTGCTTCTCTTCAAACCAGCCAGTTCTATTTGCAGCCGGGCAGAAAGGCTGAGGTTTAATGCATCGTGATACTGGGTATGGTATCAAGTGAATTCTTGGTGTTTGGGAATCCCCCTTTTTTTCCAGCAGCTGCCGTATAACTGTATAGCTCTCTCATTTACTACTACTAGCTTTATTCTCAAACTCTCTTCTGTAAGAACGTGCATAGCATATATGATAGAAAGAATACTGGTTGATTCGGGTATGATTCTATTCATTGATCTACTGTGAAAGGGGATGCTGGCAGCTAGTTCATGCGTGCAGCTTGCACAGCACAAAGACGCCACTTCCACAATACAAAGGCGCCGTTCGCAACAGACACACTCGGCTTTTCATCCATGAAAGGTACCTACTTCAGCTACATGTTGCATGAAAATAATGAAGGGTGGTGCGCGGCCGACCATCCATCATCGAAACTTCATGCCAGCTCCAACCCATTCTGCAAGGACTGTCTCACAAGTACGAGATATTAGTCAATCCATTACTATGCCGACTCCAGCTCATTACGTCCAAGCACGCCTCCAGACTCTGAGCGAAGCCTATCACAAACCATGAATCGGGACTTTGGGGATTCAAGATGTCATCGCAGTGTCAGGAATTGAGAAACTACAAAGTCGCCCCCATTCACAAGACTGCTTGCTGATAGCCTTTACTAAAATCCTGCACACATCAATTCTCTATCCTATCAGGCCTACTGGAGCTATCAAGCCCAGACTGCTCTCCGTCTGCAGTGTGACGACTCGTGTGCTCGTATATGCCCATCATGATTAAGTGGCGTAGACACAGCCCCAAAAGTGGAACAATATCCTGCATATTGCCTATCTCTATTGTACGAGTTGGTCGTCCGCTCCGAGACATTGCTGTGAGCTGGCTGCTCGAAATGTGACATGTAATATGGTTCGCTTAGGCGACGAGACAACCCGAAACCCTCGCGGTGTGAGTGGAGTTTGAGCTCATCAGCTCCCCCTCCTCATTCACCTCCCTGGCCCTCCCCGTCCTCGCTTACTTCTTCCGTTCCCCCTTCCTTTCTTCCTTGCATCCCCGTCCCTACTTCCTTCCCCATCATTCAGACTTAGTCATCCGCGTGTGCAAACGAAGATGCTCACTCCGCTAATGATTCTTGCTGGTTACGGCGTCGTTCCGGACCAATGGCCAGCTGCCAGTACCTTTGAAGACCTGCCTTCAGTAAAGCAGGAGATTTACAGACTTCAAGAACAGCAACGAGTCTTTAAAGATGAAGAGGAGGGTTACAACCTGGGAAATGCATTGGATGACGTACCAGAGGTAGGCCTTCTTTGAGCAACCACGCCGTAGGCACATGCTGACCTCCTCTCTCTTCCAGGGACTCGTGAAATGGGCAGCAGCCAACTTGTTTGATAAACAACGCCACGCCCTTGAATCGAGGGCTTCGTTCATCGAGGCTGGGCAAGCGAGAGCCACCAAGTTGACGGATCTGTCGACTGAGCTTCTCAGGATGATCCTCTCAAACTTCGAATACTCAGCACCGATAGATGGCACCTTTGAAGAAGACATCGTCCCCGGATTCCCCGTGGAAGACCGGCAGACCGTTCAATCCCTGCGTCTGGTGTCCCGCCTTTTCAACACCCTGGCATCCCCACTTCTCTGTCCCGTAGTCCGGCTCCAAGTCGACGAGGCATCCTTCAACAGGGTGCGGGACATCAAGCGCCGCCCCCTGATAGCATCCGGCGTCCGAGCATTCAGCATCAGCCTCGAGTACCGCCCAACGCTGCTTGCAAGAGATCTCGGAACATGGCTACGAAACCGCCGTCAACAAATCGACACGGATGTCCTCAGGTTAGAAAGGAGACGCAACTTATCCAGACGGGAGGATGGCTCAAACCCCGACCCCATGAGGCAAGCTGATCTACTTGAGGAATCAACCAGCCTTGACGCGGCTTGGCAAAGGGCAAGACTGTACACGGTTGCTAGGAGGCAACTGCTGGACCCGCTTGCATTTCTCGACCCTCCAGTATCAAGAGAAGGGTTAGCGGAGGAGGATATCGTCAGGTACAAGGAACTCATCTTGAACAGTCATGCCGCGTTTGCATCAGCGTACAGCCATCAGGCGCAGTTGATCTGGAATCGTTCCTTCGTCCGTGCTGTCGCTAGGTTGGCTACTAAGGCGCGGCTCCCAGTGGCTCTGGAGTTTCTAGAGAGAGTTTGGAATCTCCCGACGCCCGGCAGACACGAGACGCGAACTGTCTTCAGATCCGAGCAGCTCTTGCAACAGTTCCTTGCGGCTGATGTGGGTTGGTCAATGAGTGAACACGCCGAAGAAAATGATCGGGACAGAATGCCATTCACCCTCATCGCCGATCTACCAATAGAGATTTTTAATTGGATGGTCAAGTTGCGCGGTTTTCAGCTTCGTTGCCCGCTATTACCCCATCATGTCGAGCTCTTGCGACCCCCAAAGGCGACCGTGCGGTGGTTCGGCAACCCGTTTCAGCACCTGAAGGTTCTTCGGATCCCTCGTCTGAACGTTGAGCATGAAGTAGACCGTTTCAGGGAGGTTTCAAACGAGCGCATGCTCACCTATGCGTGGTTCTTTAACGTGTTGCTCTCTGCGCCATGCCTCAAAGAGGTCTCTCTCGGAGGCCATCCATTTGTTAGTTTCCTTCTGCGGCTAGGACTGTCCAGAACAGTCTTGAAGTCTCTCCGTGGTATCCCTCCCCCCCGCGTTCGGCCCCATCTGCCCCAACTGAAGAGGGTCAAGTTTTCATACACAGCCCCCTCCCGACTGAACATGAAGGGACTCACCCAAAATCTCGAAGACGTCAATCTTGAACATTTCGGTCATGGTTCATGTACGGGTGTGGACACGGGAAAGGCAATGAATATCTTGCGAGAAGGATTGAGCCGATCTCGCAATCCCGTCTCGTCGGAGGAAGACTCTCCTCCTCTCTTCCTCAATATTGTCAGTGAGAAGCAGAGGCCCTTGGCGGATGAAAATCCGGCTCTGTGGACGGAGCTGGCGGCCTACATGGAAGGCGAAAGATTGAATGGCACTCCAGTCTCGATGTGGACCATTACCTATCAGTAATTGCGCATCGAGTGATCTGCGATTTGCTTTTCCACTTTTTTTTTCTGGATATCTGAATTTCGAGTCCGGCTTCTTACCCTTGAAGTTGAGGGGTATCTCCAAGGTATTAAGTGGCGTATCAGGTCACTGATGGTTGGCTGGATGATTGTTACTCTGAGCTTATAGTTGAGTTTGAGTCTTACTCTAGCTTTTGAGTAAGATTTGCAGCCGATGAAATCTCCAGCCTCGTCTTTTGAATTTCTTGGTAGGAAGGAAAATTTGTTGCGGTAAGCACTGGACAGGATGAAACGGAGTGCCGTTAATTTTTTGTGTATCTGATTTGTATGGGAAATGATCAAAATAAAATAAAAAAGCAATATACTTACCTTGACCTTCTCCAATAGAGATTGTACTGAGTTGTCGATGTATATATCGAGTTTCATTCCAACCTGAAGCTAGGCAAAGAGCTTATCCAGGGCTACTTTGAAGGCTCGCTCAACGGCCTGTCGTTGAAAGCCACCCTTGGCAGTCCTAGGGAGAGTTCCCTTTGGAACGACCAGAATGTGCTTTGCATTCTCGATTCTCTCATGATCATACCTCCTCTCATGGAAGGGGTTGATGCGGCGTAGAATTTCTTCATTCAGGGACGCATCCGAAGTCGCATCCGTCAGCGGCTCAACAATTAGGACAGGAGATGGTCGTCCTGTACCAACACACACCACCGCGCTGACTAGATCTGCTCCACATAGTTCCATGACGTTATCCTCAATAGACTTTGTATCACAGCGGAGAGGAACCATCATTTTGATCCAGTCATCGTTGCGGCCTTTGTAGACGTAGTGGCCTGGGGCCGGCTCCACGAACAGATCTCCAGTGTGAAATTCCCCTGTCGTCGGATTCCGAAGAGAGACATGTGGGCAATCACGCGACTCGGGAGGTATTATTAACTCCAACAATCTCTCCCCGACTGAATCGTCTTGTGCTGGGTCATCTTCAGCGACAAACCTATACTTGGTCCTCGGGAAGGGTCGCAGATATGCAGGATTCGCATCGTCGCCCTGGGCTGTTGACAACATTATTCCAACCTCGGTGCTTGCATAGACATCGACCAAGTTAACACGCTGCTCCCGCGCCCATGCCTCTTCCCTGGGATCCAACGGAGCCCCGCCACTGAATACTGGGGAGAGGCCCTGCAAGAGCGAGAGAGTGGCGGGGTCAGTACGGGATTTCCGGATCATGCTTGTGACGAAGCTGGCAAACATGAAAAGACGAGTGAGCCCATGTTCATTCACCAGTGTCGTTATCTCTTCCTGGGTAGGAGGAATGGCTTGGCTTATGACGATGCAATGGCCGAGACGCTGACTACCCATCGCGCACAGAGTTCCGGAAAGATGGCAAAAGCTCCCGCTATTTCGATACCGTTGGTTAGCAGAAGGAAGAGGGCAGTGGTAAAAGGTATTGTTTGGGGCTTACTTGATGGCTAGGACTTGTTGCTTCTCGGAGTTAGCATCATCTTTCAGGGCACTATCGAGTTTTTCAAGACCAAAGTCAAGCCACCTTGCAGTTACTGGAACCAGCTTGGGGATTCCTGATGTTGATCCTGTGGAATGATAGTTGAGGATAATGTCATCATCTTGTTTTGGGATCCACAACTCAGGGAGCGGCAGGTGGTCGACTTGGACGGAGAGAATATCAACCGCGGGCAGGCAGATGGCATCCATGTTGAGGTTTGGAAAGACTGAGTCCTCGTAGATTATAGCCTTGGCACCCGCTTTCTGGACCAGGTCCGAGACAAGACTGACACTTGTAAGTCGGAGAGAGATTGCAACAGGAACATATCCGGCCCTCGTGATACCCCATATGTGCAAGAAATCAATGTATGACAGACCCTTGATCCTATTCTTCCAATTAGCTTGGCCGGATATACTAGGTTTGGATGGTTGAATCGTACCAAATAGCGACGGTGTCACGTTCCTTGAGTCCTTGGTTTGAGAACTCATTGCTCCAGTACCGAGCAGCCCTCTCGATGTTTTCCAGGTGCTGGGCGTAGGTAATTGTCTCCCAGCCCTCAAATACACCTTGCTTAGACCACTTGGGGTTTTTGACTGCCGGCAGAGATGGAATTCGGGCAGCTGTTTCCACCAGGGCAGTGAGGTGTGTCTTGAGTTCAGGGGCCATGGTGGTTCGGCGCGGGTGCGATTCGATAGATAGCTCGACGTCTTTTGATAGGAAAGAAAGCTGCAAAGGCACTTGTTAATGCTGGAGGATAGAAAGCCAATTGTTGAACGGGGAATTACTCACACATTATATAGCTTTCAAGGGCCTTTTTACCCCCGTTCCAAGTTCCATCAGGGACCCAAGGTTCAATCAGCAAGGTGTGCGCATCCATTCTTTAGCCCAGGCAAAGTCGAATTTTGCCCAATACTAAGTAATAAGCACTAAGGTAAGCAGAGAGGGACCCTCGGGCGATCGGCAACCCACTTTGGGCGTTTTGGATGAGTGCGCGAAGGGAAGTCGCGTGCTATAGTAGGGCAAAAGAAGATGTCGCGGGAGGTATTGCCGTGGGCTCGTCTAGTGGTATTGTTAGTCCGATCGCGGCGTGTGCTGGTTTGGAGAAGAATCGAGGCAGTCCAGATTGTTGGTTGAAAGTTGAACAGGTTCGATGCCGAGAGGAGAGTCTGCAAGGGGTCAAGGTGGACCTGCCTTGTACACTTTTTGCCTACCTTAGGTAGGCAGGTGGGCCGCCAATGCCAACAGCTCGCGACAACAGACCAGCTACGGTGGAATCATGGCTTCTCTGCGGCTCTGCTGGAGTAATGACCGGATTTCACGGCTGCACGGCTAGCCGAATTGATGGCAGAATTGCTTGCGCCCCTGTAAATCTACCATTCAATTCGAACTGCTGACGTCATCGGGAGCTTACATGTGCTCTACACAAAAGACGGCAGCGCCAACAATGCCCGAAGGATCAGCGCACTTGGGGCAAAATACATGGCTAGAGACAGCACAAACAGAGAAGGCCATACTCGGGCCAATATATCCCTCGTGTGCTCTGCATCCCTGCTTATTCTACCATTCTGTAAAATCTTGCCATGATGTTGTGTTTTTTAAAGGTTGTATGGGCTGCTAGAGCTGCCGCAGTCAGTAGCGAGCTGTCCAGCGCACTCTCGGCAGCTTCTAGTGTTTGTCAATCGTAGCCGCTGAAAGACAACAAATCAATCCGAACAGGCCAACCACCAGACAGACATCTTTCAACATCCCCCATTTATGCGTGACGGTCACTCTCTTCAATGGGCACCATGGCAGCTTTTGCACGCCTGTTTACTGGGCTGCTATTGAATGTCTTTCTTCCCAGCCAGCCTAAGCCACGAAATATGCATGGAGTGACTTATCCCAGTCGCATTTCTTCCCCAGTATCCCTTGAAAATAGCATCCCTTGAAAATGCCGGTCCGATGCCGTCCTTCCGCCAGCATTACTATCCATGGATGCCCAACCCAATCTGGCCGTTGAAGGCTCTCGGAATCTCACTATACGCTACTTACTCTAGCATATGTAGGCTTGTAAGCCGAGGGATTGTGCATACTTGCGCCTGGCCCTCCTACTGATCCTATCGCGAGACAACCTTCACCATCGTTCATCCAGAACTTCGCCGTACCAGAAACAGATTCCACATGTCCTCGGACGACACTTGGACTGATGTTATTGCTCTCGAATAACCCGACTAAGTGACTTCAACGAACAAGACATTCTCCCTGTCTCGGACGAGACCGAGACCGAGATCCACGAGTAGCTGTAAGCAAGACCACTCTAATCGATAGGCCCTCCAATGACAACGCTCCTGCGCTGTACTTCTTCCGGCAGATCATTGAGGCGATCCATGCTCCCGAAGCTTTGCTCCGAGACTGGCTCGATCAGACAGTGCGGTACAGCCCCCCACTGCAAGCAAAAACTGAAGAGGAGTTTTGGCTGAACTGGCCCAATGTCAGCCCTCGAGTGTGGAAACTCTCATGATCAGCCGTCCTGTCAGTAGATTAGAGTGACCGCTACGTCAGATCCGCTACGTCAGATGCATATGGTTCATATAAGGCTAGAGGAGACCTCCGTGGATATAGACATTGCGACATATGCCGCTCATCGCCTGCATAGTTCAGCAGCCTCGAATTCGGAGAGTAACCAGGAGATCTTTAGGCAAGCTGTCTCTGAAAAGGCGAATGGGCTTTTCTTATGCGCCAAACTGGCCGTGTATTTCTTTCTCGAAGAAAATGCCAATGTCAAGCAAGTCTTGATCATGCTCCCGGCGGATCTGAAACTCATGTAAACCAACCTCGTCCGGGAACACGCTATGAGATCCGGGCTACCTCATTATTTACAAGTTTTGATTCTGTCTTGCGTGACAAATGCCGCCCCTGCGGCTACTGAGAGTCGGCAAGATTATCAACATGACCACAACATTGAAGCTCTCAGGAGAGACCTCAAAGCAATCAACAAGCTTGTTCGACACGCATGCGGGCCCCTTCTAGACGTTGTTCTGGATGAGACATTATGTGTTATTCATCTTTCTTTCACCGAGTTCTCGACTAGGTTTACCTACGGAAGGGAGGAGAACGAGGCTACATTTCTCATTTCAGATCACGGTTCAACCAACGTCCGCCTTTCCTAGGCCTTAATATATGACATCACGCGGTCTAAATGTCTTAAATCCCTGTCTGTAGTCAACTACATTGCAAGATCTCCCGATTTCAGACTTTCGGCTTCCAAGGGCAATGGACCACTCGTACCGAGCAGTGAAATACGTTAGGGAGTACCTTTCTTGCAATATTCGCTAGAAAACCAGCAAAATTAGCACGTCCATATCCAGCGAGCGGACATCAATGTGGAGTTGCCGGGAACTCTATCTCTGGGTCTCCGATGAACTTGTCACTAAGAAAGCACTGGCCAGATTTGGAAGGGCTCGATTGACAAATATCCAGAGCAGGAATCGTTAGCATATAGTTAAATAGACAAGGTTCAATCCACACCTGAAAGTCTTACAAAGACGAGGTATATGGAGTTTGACGCGTTCGACGATGACGACAACCCGTGAGCTAGGCGTAATCCATGAAGCAATTGTAAGGCCCAACGGCCACACACCTCTCCACAGATTCGCAGCAGTATTCAATCATGAGGAAGCGGTTGAACTTCTAATACAGGCTGGTAGTGCCCCGCTGGCTCCCCAGACTGGAGAAGATCCTTGTTGAATCTCATAAGTCACACTCAGACAGTCCGTCTGCCGGTTGAGAGATTTGGCCCCAAGTCCATTCAGAAACTGATGATACTCCTATGTGAACATGGAATTGATGTTTACGATATTAACGAAGAACGGAAGACATTGCTGCCAAATACCACACAATATCGGCCTGCCATGGTCGAATACCTACTAGACGCAGGTGCCAATCTAAGCTAGCTTCAGAGACAGTGACGGAGACAATGCCTTCCATGGGTACAACGATGTTCAAGTCTTGCAGCTTTTAGCCAAAGAAGTAAAAGCGAATATCAACCAATGATCATCTACCTGGAGCTTGACACGATTTTCTCAGCCATTTTCAACGGGGTTTACAGCCGATCTCATCAGTTGCCAATATCACTACTTGCTACCTCGAATATACTCGAGCCTGATTGAAGCCGGTGCAGAAACATATACTAATATTCCAGTGGCCACACTCTTCTGTCCTCGCTGCTCAATTGAGATACTATCCAGCTGGTCCAGATCCTCTTTCACGCTGGTGCTGACCCGGTTGTCCGTAGCAAGCAAGGGTGAAGTCTCTATTTTGTCTGCCAACATGCCGTGTACTAGACTAATCTCAATCGCTAATGTATCTTAATCGACTATCTGAAGATTATTAGTGTTGACCTTACAATTCGCGATAAGACGATATTCTCGCTCTTCAATCGCCACGAAATATACCGGACAACAGGAGCTGAATACATTTACACTATGAATTCGGGCACGACCAATCATCAATAAAGAGCCGCTTAATGCAGCGAACTCAAGGACCACGAAGGTGTTGGGCCTCTACATATTGCTTGCAAATTATCTAAACTACTGGTAGTCAAGTTATCGACAACTGGCGCCAGCCCTACGAAACCAGTGAATGACACCGTTTCCTGTCGCCTGTCGCTTTCGAAAACTGAGCATGGCCGATGAAAGAAGAATTAGGATCCAAGAGTAGGAAAGAGGCACTCTCTTCCCATCCCAACACCTCTTTAGCCCGCTGGCTAGCTACTGCTCGAGACAGCCTCTTCGTGTGTGCGCAGTCTAGCCATCTATGTGAGACTGACCTTGAAAATAGCTGTGTGTAAGTTAATTGCGGCATCGGATGTACGCCACATATCAAGCCACAAGTTGTGGGTGTAGAGCGAACACCTTTGACCTGCGTGTAGGTAGCCCAAGACCGACCAAGTCTCTCTGTACAGGCACATACGCCATCGGTTATGCTCATTTGCGCAAACAATGAACTCTGCGTTGAACTCACTCGACTACAAATTATGCATGGCAACATATTCGATCCATTCTCAGTTACGCTTACATCAGACACACAGAAGTGAGACATGGTGCCATCTTGGTAGACTACTAGCCTGGCATAGATCAGCTATCGAAGTCCAGGCCGGTCTTTCAAGCGACAACAAGCAACTCGACGGATTGGATTATAGTGTTCCATCCTCATGCAAGCTACTATGGATACGGCCTGCATTCTGGTTGGGAACAAATGGAAGACTACTGTATCATCGAGGAAGAACACGAGATAAGACTGGTGGGGACAGGAGGCGGTCAAGGAGAGGGAGAGCGAACGAGAGCAGAGGACATGGGGAGATCGGCACACATACAAGGTCCTGGGCACCGTTGCAGGACACAAATGTGCACGAGGTGCAGCCGGTGTACGTTCAGTAGTACTCGAAGCTACGCGGTGTCTTGGCCCGCATACAAGCGTTACATACAATATTGAACCTTAAGCTGGCAGGGTTTCGGCTGCAACACACGGCACAGTCTTGGATCAAGTGACTCTGGAATTGCTTTTCCCATCCACCCACCCTCACACGCGTACCGAACCAGCACGATGACTGGTGGACATCCCCGGCAGCAGAGCTATCACGGCTGCGCCCAGAATGAGAGAGATTGGTCCACGATGCCCCCCTAAGATTCAGGCCGCATTGTGGCTGTCAATGCGCAGCTGCATATAAGCGCTAGGCCAGCCGAAAGGGCATGCCGCAGGGATCGTCTGGGTCGTTTGTGTTGTCTGCTGGACAACAATAGTAGCAAGGGTGGCTGCGCACTTTTGACTTGCTTTTTGCAACTACGCCTGGCATTAGAGTGGGGTGGGCACAGCGCATAATACACCGAGCTGATAAGACAGAGAGGAAATAGGATCTATCACATATGCCTATCCAATCACTAAGGCCCTCGTCCAGCCATCCTGTTCAGCTACTACAGCTGAACTGAAACCTGAACAGGCTACATTTGCGTACGCAATGCGCCATGACAACACTAGCCCGTATCTTTTTCGTCTTGCTTCAGATGGGCAGCCAGTCGGGGTCCAGGAATCAACAGCCAAGAATAATATAATCATGTAATACGAGTTTTTGTTTCGGCGGATAGATAAGACAATTTGTGCAGTTGCTTGTATCGCATGCCATTGGTAGACCTTCAGAATGTTATCTCTGAGACCGTAAGGCAACCAAGACAAGTCTCGAAAGCGTACGAATCCCAACAAGGGTCCCACGGGTTGGGATCTGATCCGGAATCACAAAGGACCTTCCCTTCTCTCGTCATAGTAGCATTTACCTCCTCATCCAAGCACTTCTCCACCCATCCAAGTTTCACATCAGGCCTAGTTTTGTTATGCAGACTCGCTTGGACGGTTGCCTTCATGGGTCCAATCCAATTTTGCAACATGTGCGTGGAAGGAATCGGCCAGAGAGCAATCGGTGGTACCCTCGAGGCTTCTGGACGTCAATAGGCCCCTGTAGTTGGCTAGTGCCCAGGTCATTTCCGCCATGAGTTCGTTTTATGTGGACTGGGATACCAAAGAGCGACTCGTGTAGTAGGAAAGTGAGTTGTTGGTCTGTAGCCTCAGCCACATTCCTGGACTTGAATGTGTAGTCATAGAGTGAAAGGTTTTATTTCCAACGCTTCGCAGATGCAGCTGAATCTGTGTCAAAGTAAGCAATTTCACGATGTATAGATGGAAGCACAACTCCGTCTCACCTCATATGTCGCCTCAAATTCTTCACGAAGTAAAGAGTAAACAATGGAGTGCTGTGTCTTTATAACCCCGATATCGACACGTAATAAAATGTGAATAACGTCTTTGGCACAGCCAAGGTTGACATGCAGTGTGCTTCTCAGTCCCTATGAGGGTAACGGTAATTAACACTCATTGTCTACTTCTGAAAAGAAGCTGAGACTTAGTTGCAGATACAATTCTGATACAAAAGTAAACGTTATCATTCAGTTTAGAAAGCTTCCAATTGTTTCTCGGGGAATATGGGCGGACTTACATGGGAGCCTAGATCCTGTCTCTCCGGCTTCGTACTCTTTGTTCGCATGTCAATTCTAGTTAATTTTGTTCAAATTAGGCTGAGCAGCCAGACATCACAAACTGAAAATTACGGGTTCTTGGGAGATTTAGTTTCGGCGTTGCAAATGTTGTTTTATTCATTTTTTGAAGCTTTCAGATGGCATCAAATAACTTTTGTGTGAGTATGAAATGAAGTAATGAGTGACTGGTGAATGAAAGACAGTGCATGGCCAACCGATTTCAACCAACTTTTTTTTTGAAAGCAAGACTTTTCGCGGCCATGATTTTTGGAAACCATATAGTTCACAACGCCCTGTGATATGTTTGAATTTTGGTAGCCAGTCGCGACGCGTACAAGCGAGCGCCCCCTCAGCGATATGCGTCGTTTTAAACCGTTTTGATTCCAAAAAGAAATGAATAACTTGAGAAACCCAAGCAACATTCTTTCCTTCTGGGATTTGGCTTCGTCGGACTAGGCTGGGGCCATGGCACGACTCGCCTAAGCCCTCTTCTCTCCGTAACCGTAGGGGTACTTGCCCTGGCAGCAGGGCTTGGTGCAGCCAGGCTCACAAGGCTTGGGCTGGGGCTTGGGGCAGGGAGGAGGCTGGGGCTTGGGGCAAGGGGGCTCGGGCTTGGGGCAAGGGGGCTCCTCGGGCTTGCAGCAGCCGTTCTCGCAGTGAGTATGAGTCGACTTGGTGTTGGAGTTCTCATAAGCATGGTGAGAGTACTTGTCACAGTCCGGGCAACCAACATCAAGTTGAGGCCGGTTCTGGTAGTTGTTAGGGTCGTAGTATCCTCCGGGACCCCGATTGTTCTGGCCTTGCTGTCCATAGCCCTGGCCGTAGCCCTGGCCAAACTGGCCTTGCTGCTGCTGAGGAGCTTGGCCGAACTGGCCTTGCTGCTGCTGCTGGCCACCTTGCTGGAAGGGATCAGCACGAGCAGCGAGCCCGTTGGCGTCGGTGGGGAGAGCAAAAGTGCCCATGGCCAACATGAGGCCAGCAAGAGTGGTTGAAGTGCGCATCTTGAATAGACGATTGAGTTAACCGAGTAAAAAGATAGAGAGTCGAAGTTGAACTGAGAAGTCTTGTGCGAGTTGGTTTGTCTGGTGTCCAAGAGGCTGCTTGATGCTGAGAAGAAGAAAACATTATTGCCAGAACTCGAGGGCCTACTTATAATCATCTTCAAACGCGAAACAATGGCGAGGAGTCACGGTTGTCAACCGTCAAGATGCTGAGTTAGACTGAGTACGTGGAGAGGTTGGGTCAGTCTGCAATGTCAAACCTTCGAGCATGACAACGCATCACCAGGAGGGGGAAGCTTCCGGTTACACTGTACCAGTTAATCGATCTTGAGCTCAATGGCTATTCCCAGAGATCTCCGCTTCAAGCTGACAGTGTTTGATAATACACTTTTCGAGTGCATTTTCCCTCCCCCTCTTTCCACGAATGAAGCATATATTGTTGAGTTGAGGGGGAAGGGCGTTGTGGATCAAATGGATTCTTCAGTCGGGCCTATCCGCGAGGTTTAGAATCTGGGAAACCATGACCATTTCCCTCGACGCAATACCATGGATGGTTTGCAGTGTTAAATATCATCACAGTCGAGCCGTATCCAAGGGCATGCGGATCTGGAAACAATAGCAGGATATCTTGGACGCATAACAGCCACTTACTGAAGATCTCAGGCGTGTTAAAACAAAGTTCGTCTCGTACGTGCTTCTGAGGAACAACACAAGTTCATTGGTTGCCTTCGAGCTTGCATGAGCCCAAATCTCTGGGGTCTGGTACCGAAAGCCTACTCCTAACCGGTAGACCGGGATCACTCGCCAGTTAGTGTCCTGTATCCAAATCTTGTTGGGGGTTTTAACATCGGTATCGGAGGTCTAGAACGTCGATCATAGAGAACGTCCCGAAACCTTGTCATGTAGACGGCTGATCTGAGAACAACTTCACCAATGGTGGGCGTTGGATCGTCTCATCACTTTGGAAGTATCCCCTCCGAACTCACCGGTACCAGATTGTGGAGGGAAAAGAGGCTAACATGACGGGCAGCTAGCCCCAGCCTCTCGCCGACGCAATCTCGATCTGCAGAAGCCGTCAATTATCATTTTTTGAGTTTCCGTGACACCAATTCGGAGGTCTTTCCCAGCCTCCCCCAAATTCAATCGAAACACGCAATGAACGCGGTATGGCTTTGGCCTAGTCGGTTTGGATCCGGAGCTAGTACTAAGGTTTAAGAAGCGCAGCTGTACCTGGCGTTGTGATATGCGGAACGAAAGGAGGGGGTAAAACTCAATTGAGACGAGATGAACCCGTTTGAGCTTATTCATGAAAAACATAGGATTCTTCTGAATGTATTGGTTAGACTTATGAGGAGAGAGTTAGCTGCTGCATGACACCAAAAAGGCGACGGTCTGGGCAAATTGGAAAAGGCCGGCATAACTTGACAGTCTCCAGCTGTCAACATTGCATCACCATAGTTTCAATACCAAACACGTAGTAGGTATGTAGGTAGGTACCTTGAAGCCACAGCGATTCGATGTCTATACCGTTTCCTCGGGGCAGAGATCCAGAGACGAGCAGCTGGCTTTTGGTAAGCGTCTCTCCATGGATTTTGACATTTGTACAGTTTTTGGTCCAAGTGCTGGTCTTGTCCTGGTTTGTAATTGCAGAAAGGCTCAGCAATACACCTTTCGAACCCAAACCGGACGGAATCAAAGAGAGATGTGTCAGTATCCATATGATCTCTTTAGACCCCGCAGCTTCATTTCGACAGCCGGTGGGTGTCAAAACTATTATTGGTCAAATTTGAGGACAAGTCTTTGAAGATTTAGGATTTGAGGGCTGAAAACTGCTGCGCCCACGTCTAAGAATATTTAGTTCTGTTGGGGCAGAAACACGGACTCAAGGTTGCAAGAACAGACGGAACGAGATCAAAACTTACAACATCCTTGTTCTTGTTAGGTCCACGTTCAGAGGATGATCCTCACGTGCTCAAGTATGTTACTGTAACTGGAGGCTTTCTATTGTCTCTCGCGTCATAGGTCAATTGCTTCTAATCACCACGTCGATCGATTGGCAACCAAGTTGTCCAAGGTTCGTGAATGCTGTGTGATATTGAAGGAGACTAAAGAGCTTTGGTCGTACAGGCCCGGTGGCAAGTTACGGATCAAATACCGATGGGGTGGCTCTCGGCGTGTCACTGATCGCAGTAATGATAGGCAGAGTGATCCATCGCATCTCCTGCGACGTAGTGGTGCCTCTTCTCTTTTCCCTTTTCCTTTTCCCGTCCCTCGTAGCAGAGGAAGCCTAGACTGCATTCCCAGGACCGGGCGTGGAGACTAGTGCTTCAATTTGTATTGTCGAGGGTTGTTATCTTGTGTGTCGAAGCCGGACGTGCACCTTCTCGATAACTCAGAGGTACTCAAAGGTGGTGTATCTGGTGGTTGCGAAACGTGCAATCGTTTATTAAGGGCAGACACGATCGGCCTAGAAAATAAACCTGTTAGCGACAAAGCTGGCAGGGATGCGAAGGATAAGTACAGATGGGTAGGTATGAATGGTTGTAGTTTCCCTTGTATATTCTTCCCTGTACGATCGAAAGGAGTCATGGGAATATCGGGGAGTCTCTTAGAGGCGATGACGGCCATGGAGCAGCAAATGAATTCATATGTGAGGTGAAGTTATCAGTGTTGGCTTGAGAAAAACATCAAAATTGCAGAGGCGTAGAATGCGCAAAGCATTGGATGTTACGTCATTTATTTTCATTGGAAGGCGCGACGAGGCGACACTGCCTGGTGTCGTAATGCCTTCCACAGCGTAGCTCGCCAGGCTGGTTGGTGCTCCTGAAGCCTGAGCACCCTTCTGTAAGGCTTGGGCACTTGCACGACTCGGGCTCAATCCTTAACCTCGCTACAGTCTCTTACACTAAGGTACCTAAAAGACTGGTCGCTAGCTTGAAGCAAATTGAAGTATTCAGGGATAAATCACAATGAGCGACTGGACGCTGCGAATATTCTGCCGGCCGTCACGGCACTTTCTCGTAGTTCCATTCTCGTGCCAGTCTGAGCTCAGGGCGACAACAGGTGCCGGGGATCTCGAGGCCGGGAGAAAGATAATCCGTGGATCCTCAGGCTTGGTCATTGTGATGCGCACTAACCATCAGTCAATTGAGATACCAATACGCCCAATGGATCTCATTATGTTATGAGAGAAAAACCTCCTTTAGAGTGTTCCTGAAAGGCCCAAAGGGTTCAGCACAGAATTTGGCTGAGCGTGTGGTTGACCGAAATCGCCAAATGATCAAAATGATGGCTTAGGGTATCAAATCAAACGTTTTTACTCGTAATATGGCCAGACCTAACTGGGCAGCTAGCTAACTAGGATGCAGTAGGATTTTAGATGCATACAAGAAAAAGGCGTTATTAATTATCGTAATTATTCACTGCACAGATTCATTTTATATGCTTTTGCCTCAGCTGGAGAATGCATGCCAGCGACGATGAACCTGCGAGTTCTTGTCCAGGGTAGCCATTTCCCGCACCGGAGCCAGAGAGCAATCCGAGCAGAACTTCGGATATTCTCAACCCACCAGAAAGTCACAGATGTCCATGACTGAAAGAAGCACAATGCTGCCAGGCATTTACGCCACCAGCTAACCCAGTTGATTTCAGAATTCACGGCTCCTCGATAATCTTCCTCTTTTCGAGAAAGTCGAGACCGAAGTATTTACGTAAGTCAGCCGAGAATCACCCGCCGGGCCGTCGTCCGAGTGGTTCGTTCCCCACACGTGCCTTTATTAAGCAGCTTGGCAAGCTAACCACCATGTAAAAGGGATCCCACGACCCGCAACTTCGACCGCTCTATTCCTCGATCCTATTTTCCGTTCCGATGCCCAAACACTCCAACTTGGAGTGAAGAGGGAAAAGACTCGAAAATGTCCGTGACACAGTCTTCAACTACTGTACTTGAGCCAATTGAGCTCCAGTCGCTTGCCGTGACCCCTGAACCTAGTGTGTTGGCATCGGAGACTAAAGCGAGTAAAGGCCGCCGCCTTGAGTCTGCCCATGACATCACCACGGCTCCTGAAGACCCTTTACCCTCGGATCACAATGTCACTACGCTAGAAAGCTGGAACAATCCTCGATCGAACATATATCGGATTGGGGCCTCATACTGGAGTCTGCTGGTGACCGGCGCGAATGATGCCGCCTACGGTGTGAGTGGAATGAGGCATCCTCCTGGTGACTTGTTGTGCTAACAATAGAGTTTTCCAGGCCTTGATTCCATATGTATGTTTCCAGCCAGACCCGATCCAATTAGCTCATCCCAACTGACAGCGGCTTAGCTGGAAACATACTACAAACTCGACTATCTCGTCGTGTCCTTGGTGTTCCTCTCTCCCTTCGTCGGCTACATCCTCGCTGCCACTTGTAACAACCACATCCACATGCGCTTTGGCCAGCGTGGCATTGCCGTGATATGTAGCCTGTGCCACATTGCAGCCTATATCGTTCTCTCGCAGCACCCTCCTTATCCGGTGCTGGTTGTGGTCTTTATCGTTGCTGGGTTCGGCAACGGCGTGGCTGATGCGGCATGGAATGCGTGGATTGGGAACCTGAACAAGGCCAACGAACTGCTGGGCTTCCTGCATGCGTTTTACGGTGTTGGCGGCACCATTGGCCCCCTCATCGCAACCACAATGATCACCAAGGGTGGCTTGTCATGGTACAGCTTTTACTATGTCATGGTAGGTTGCCTTAAACAACGATTTATTATCGGCTACTGATGAATTGGACAGATCGGAATGTCCGTAATTGAGCTTGCCGCATGTACAGCGGCGTTTTGGCATTGCGGAGCTGAGGAATACAACCGCGCTATCCAAGCCAGCAGCGAAAACACCACCGGCATGAGGACCGCCCTATTCTCGAAACCCTATGCCCGCGTCACTTGGATCGGTGCCCTGTTTCTCCTGGGCTACGTTGGCGCCGAGGTCTCGCTAGGGGGGTGGATTGTACAGTTCATGATCCGCGTCCGTGAGGCCGAGAATTTCTCCGCTGGCATGACCTCGGTCGGTTTCTGGCTGGGCCTGACGGTCGGGCGAGCTATCCTGGGGTTTGTCACGCCCCTGCTCGGCGTGAAGTTGGCGGTCCTCATCTATGTACCCGCCGCCATGGCGCTCGAGCTCGTCTTCTGGCTCGTGCCGCAGTTTTACGTCTCTGCGGTGGCGGTCTCCCTGCAGGGCTTCTTCCTCGGGCCCCTGTTCCCGGCCGTCATCGTCGTCATGACGAGGCTTCTGCCCAAGCACCTCCATGTGAGCGCGGTCGGCTTCGTTGCTGCGGTCGGCGGGAGCGGAGGCGCCCTTTTGCCGTTCGCGACCGGAGCTCTCGCGCAAGCGAAGGGTGTTCAGGTCCTTCAGCCCATCATCCTCGCCTTCCTGGGTCTTCTTCTGGTACTCTGGCTGTGTCTGCCGCGCCTTGGGAAGAAACGAGACTAGTTTCGTCCACTGGAATCATTTCAATCCGCAAAGTAACATGAACCGTGTGTGGCGTGCTAGTATGTTGCAAACGATCACCAAAGGGTCTTTAAAGAATATACATGATATTATGTGGGCTGATGGCGAGAAAGACATCACAAGTAAGTCACTGGCATTTCAACAGGTCGAGCGTGATTGGAAATAGTAGATTCTAGTTATGTAGCAAACTTTCTTGGCCTTATTGCCGAACCATCTCGCACTCGATACTAAACGCAATCGCCTCCAATGATCAGGAGCATTCACTATTCCAGAATGCTTTTACGAGGGCCTCCATGGCCGAATCTCCCATCCAGCCAGCCGGGTAGGTCTCATCCATCGTATGCAAATAAAAATAATCAGTAACAGCTATCGGTCTTGAATGAAATTTCGTCGAGGTGCTTCGGAGTAAGAAGCGGAAACCACAGCAAACAGACTGGGTTGACGAGTGTATGGGAAGGGGTTGTTGCAGGATATCATCTCTCGAGTGACGACTAGAGTCCGAGGAAGGTGCAAAGTTTGTTATTTGTTGCGCATGGGATTTCTCTCGGGGAACAGTCGAAAGGAGTTCCGCACTCATCTCGTACTGTCGCTTAGGCTGTGTCGGCCTCAAGGGAAAGCGGCATGAAGCCACATCTTGAAAGAATGGAGATGGCTTTCTCCAAACCTTCGCTGGAGACCTTGCCCTCGGAGGGAGGCAAGAATGAGAACTCGTCGTAGCGCGGGTTCATCAAGTCGGTGAGACCAGTGCTCTTCCACTCCTCTTGTTGGATCAATTCAAGGAAGATTGCCTCCCAAATTTCCTTTCTGTCGGCCTTGAAGCCCCTTCCAAAGATCACAGAGATTCCCTCTGGAACATCTGTGGTTTGTGATTCGGGAACTTGAGCCGCGAGCTCCTGCTCATTTCCTTGCTCCTTGGAACCAGTCTGCGGAGCTGAGGCTGAGAGCACAAGATACCAACGGGACAGGCATCCGTTGGGCAGTTGGATTTTGCACTCGGCTATTGACTAGGTTAGTCTTCCATCTGAAGCCGATATTTTGAATAAACTTTTCAAATGACTTTTAATAACTTACACATGATGGTAGAGTTCTCTGTGTGTGAGCGTGAGTGGAGTGAGGCGTTGCGGAGTTTTTTCTTGAGTTGTTCGACTTTTGGATCCTATGAGTTGTGTGATGGGGGATGGTTGGGAGAGAAAATTAAATTCTAAGCCTTCGTGCAATATATGTGGCCAGTACAATAAGTGAATGTGTTTTCTGATGTCACATGTAGCACGAGGCAAAAGGATCTGAGAATAAGCTGAGGCACGTTTGAGAGCGCGCTGCACACTCCGAGACTAGACTTCACAGGCGTGCAAGGTGTGTATAAAAGCGCACGCTAAGAAAATGGTATCGGTCGTGTTTATTCGTTTCACTGATGTATCATGGAAAGTGTTTTTTGTACATTCGTTTCCCTGTTCGTAAGTTATTATAACAGTGCAGAATGAAGCCTGCGTGCGACCCCACGAACAATAGTTGATGTTTGTCTGTCCGCCAAGGCTTGATTGGAGACTAGCATTAATACATCACGCAGATTGGAAACAAGTTGCCATTGATCCTAGACAAGGAAGAAGATCAATTTCGCGGACAATGAGGTATGGCCACATGGACCAACTCCTCTTTCACCGAAGATTGGCCATCCTTATTTGCGGCAACTATGAGCAAACAACTTTCTCTTGGGGGGGGAATTGAAGGTTGAATAGCCATGGGAAATTCTATTTCCAGTTCAGGTGAGACGTGATTGATTCACCACCAGTAACTGTGGAGTTTACTACGCCCGCCCTTTGTGCGTCACTACGTACGGGGTTGTGTCCTTGTCCACATCACCAATGCGCGACCTCAAAATTGACGAAGAATGACTTCTTTATCTGGCTATATTTACCACGTCTCGCGGTTGCCCATGTTTCCTTCAGGGTCCTGTTCTCGCAAGTTCAAGGGAACCTCTATCTATGCAGGCTGCCTACCTCAATCCTGATGTAAGTGAGCGCTTTCCTGCCCTGTGCTTGGCATACGAATAGGTGGGAAGTGTGAGCCTCAGAGACATACAAGCAAACACATCTATATTTGAGTTAGGTACATATCTACGCGAGTCTCTAAGCTGGGGTTGGGCTGTAGCTTGTCTTGCTGAGCACGGTAACCTTCATGTACTTCCTCCCCTTACCCAGGAGGTACCTACCTCCCGTTGTTCACGTAACAATACATTAAACCCACTAATAGCAGCCATACAAACGCAAGTACTGTACAGAGTAACCTGATCATGGAAAGTACCGTCGGATACTTCCTGTATCACATGCAAGTCATACCTACGTGCCCAGTTACAGGAGCAGCTGATGTTGATGTCAGCCTGCTCTCCGGTGCCGTGACCCACCCCGCCCCCTTCCATAGTTCCTTCCTTCTTACGCGTGCCTTCCTTCTTTTGAATCTTCCATTCTTGTTGACAGTTTCTCTCTCCATCCACCACTTTCTTCTACCTCAAAGTTGTTTTCCTCCCAGAAATCCTCTTCTGAACGCACATCATCCATCGAAGATTCTGCCACCACATTCTTCACCCCTTACAGGCGGAAACCTTGCCTACGTTAGGTGGCCTGGACTGTTGATGGTATCAGATCGTCGACTTATCCTTTGTGAATCTCTACACCTCTCCATCATGGAGCTCTCAACAAATTCCGAAGCCTTAATCGGCACATGCGACTCGCAATCTTCCATCATCTCAAGCACTATGCCGTTGACAAAGATTAGACGCCATAATTTCAGGGCAGACGGTAAGCAAAAGTCTCTCCCACCTACTCCCTAACACGATGCTAATCAGATTTCCTTCAAGACAAGATCAGAGTCATCATCTACGTCGGCGAAGACTTCCAGCTACGAGCTTCATGGCGTCGGTTCTAGGTGGACCTGACCATGACAGATGAGTGGCAGCAGACTGGCTTCGGCTCCTGGGCTTTCAGCTCCCGCCCATGCCTAATCACAGGCGTCGACCGTGTCAGCATCCGGTCACTCCGCGGAAGAGGGCACATTGAAGCAGCTTGTATGCTTCTCGTACGCAACGGCTTCGTCCGCGTTTCCAAGCCTTGGGACGAGGTGCCGGTATACCAAGCTCTGGGCAGAGCCCCGACTACCACCCTCATCAACCCAAGCGGAGCCACGAGCCCCATGCCGTACCCAGACACAATCTATATCTTCTTCGGGGAAGATACCGGGGGTGAGGAGCTCCGCAAGATGTGGCTCCGGTTCTTCGACAAGATTATGGATAACCAACCGTGTGGCTTCGCCGGCTTTACGAAGCGCGAATTCCGCCACAATGATCTCCTTGTTCTTCAAGACACCGGCGTTGGCCTTGCCAACCGCTACGAGAAGGCTCTGTTCCAGTTGCACAGTCACGGATTCCGGCCCTGCCATTCCAAGTATCCTTTCACGCCGCAATTCCGAGCCCCAGTTGAAGGCTCCAAGCCTGTCCGGGAGCCATGGGGGGCCGGCCAGCCGAAGGGCACAAAGATGGGCTTGGGTAACGGCAAAGCCGCGGCAACATTCAAGCTGGATGTCCGGGTGGTGGCCGACTCCCGACTTGGCGGCCTAGAGATGGGTGACACCAAGTTGGATGATCAACCACTTGAGGAGGCCGGTCCCTCAATCAATTTGAGGCGTCCGCCTCCGCAGGTGGCAGCCTGCGTCCAAGTGGGTGGGCCTGCGCCCCCGGTACTCGCCCGGACTTCGCCAACGGCCATGATGAGGGCCTGTCTGCGCGGCTTGCGGAGCGCGAGAGACAGCCTTCTTGACTTCTTCTGGTGAAGAGAGCACCAGCTGGTCTGGGGCTCGCTGGAGCTTGAAATTCTCGGCAGCTTCGGAGCTCTTTGGATTGTACCGGAAGGTTGAGAAACTCTTCTCGGGGATGTGGCGGCCGGCATGATGGGAACAACAGAGGAGTTCCTTCGGGGGGGGGGGGGGGCTTGGGGGACTGAATATGATATTCAGAAGCTCAAAGCTTCGAGACGAAGGGGTGGGCTTTGAAAATACGCCGAGAGTAAAAGAACAAGGATTGGGCTCTATATGCATTTCGGTTTGGTTTAATTTGAAATTGTGGAATGTCAGGAGAGAGAGAGAGAGAGAGAATTTTGTGAGAACATATTAATCAACCCAACTACACCTTATCTACGAGCCTATGAATAATGACTGTTTCTTCCCATTGTCAAATCCACGAGCATCCCTGTCTCATTGCCTTCTATAGAGAACCCACCATGCTGGTACAATCTGTATACTTTGATATGAGTTCCAGTTCAGTATTCGACATGTAGACAATATCTAACACTTGGGGAGCAGCCAGTGCAGTGTACTTGGCTAACATACCTCATTGCAAATGCCGCATTGATGTCCCAAATATGTTCAAGCCAGAAAAAATCAAGTCAAATAGCTATGTATACGCACCAAACAAATAGCTAAACAGCCAGGAAGGTATAAGATCAATATCTCAAAATGATGCAAAATGAACAGTTTTGACCCTTATCAATTATTAATCGTATGGCAAGAAGAGAAACAAAATTTGAACGTAATAAGATAGAAACCCGTGAATCCATTCCAATTTCTTCGCCTATATGTGGTCAATCGAGCCGTTGTATCCATACCCACGTTAGCCGCAACACTCTGTTCAAACAGTAACTGCATATGCTTTGACGAGTCCCAGGAAGCCCCTGACCGAGAGCTAATAAAACACGACCAACATTGCTGGAGCCAACCCAGCAGTACCTAACCATCTCAGAGCCTAGTAATGTTCAGGTGAAGTGCTGCTTAATCGTAGAAAACATAAAAGGCTTCCCTTCCCCTTGGGCAGATCAAGGGGTTCCCCTGTTTGCTTAGCAAAAAAATGCTTGTGCCCTGGATTCATAACTTGATTGGCTTGGACTCTCCTTTTTTTTCGCGTCTTCTTCTTCTAAAATATGGGCCTGGGCACAAAAGATTTGTTTATAAGTTCCAGTCTGCCAATCGACCTCGTGAAATTCGTTTGACTTGGCCAAAGAGTCAATGTGAATTGCAGCTGCATCGATCAAAATCTTCCATAAGAACATGTCTACGACATTTTCTTCAGCACGCTTCAGGGGAGCTGGAAAGGCAGTCGCATCCCAGCGGTGATTGATAATTCTCTCGATACGAGATCTCGTCATGGCAGAGAGTGCTGGAATCCTGTAGTAGTCTGCAGCGATATTCAGGCTAATTTCAGCCTCCAGACAGCGTGGGGAAGGTTGACTCGTGTCTTGTAGTTGGCTCTGACGCTCTTCATCCTGGAGTATCTCCATGGATGGCCATGTCCCAGCTAACAAAGGATTGGAAGAATAGTCTTGGACATATACATACTGAATGAGACGAGCCATAGTGGCGACGTCATACTGGTTGGACGAATAACGATCCAGTCTGGCCCCCTAATTCATATGGGATTAGTTTCATCCTTTTCCTTGTAGAGAGGCTGGATAGGCGGTCGCGCAAATCGCTTACAAAATCGCTTACCATGAATTGGCCATCGATCGCAGCCGCAATAACTGGTGAATGAATATAAACCACGGCCTTGTGCAAGTTCCATTCAGCCCCATTGCAAGCCAACACGAAGTCGCTATATTTGCCGGATTGCAATAGCGCGAGGCTTTCTTCGTGGATTGCGGTCATCTCTGGCATGTTGGTGGATGCGCTTCGTGATGAGCGAGCTTTGAGGTGACGTCTGCTTTCTTAGTAAGTTGGTCCGTGATTATCAAGGCTAGGCAGCTGGGTAAATGGGAACATCTCAGCTTGAATGAAAAAGCGAGGATTAAGTAGCCGCGAGGACAAAGAGAAGGCGAGGACAAAGTCAAGGTAACTGTGAATACTTAGACAAGATCGAAAAAGACGCGCACAATGGAGCCAAGAAAGCAAAAATGGCAAGGATCAAGTGGCGTAGAGCGAAAACAAGTGAAAACAATGAAGTCCCGAACTTGAAAAGATGGGTGAAATACCGACGAGATGAAGAAGTTGCAAAGACAAAGTAAAGTAGGACATGGGCTATTTTATGTTTACCACCTCAAAAGTACGGCGACCCACCGGCTGACTACCAGCCCTTCTCCCGTCCACTTCCTTTCACCTGCTGGCTCTTTATCTAACCTCGCACAATTTCTTGAGTTGGCATTTCCAACTAAACAATCACCATGAGCCGAATTTGGTATCCCTGCATTGTTTGTGGGAACAGAGTAGGCGGAATGGAGAATCCCGAGGATGACGAGGGAACCCTTTGGCTTTCTGAGTTCCGTGGAGGTATGTGGCTTTGATTATGAAACCAACGGGCTGGCAAGAATTATGCTAACCAACCTTTTTTGCATAGTGTATCGCCATCACGAAGAAGGGTACATCTTGACCGGTATTTGTTTCTCAATCGAGCCCGAAGAGGAGCAGTTCGGAGCTCCGCCAGCCGACGCCTCTGCTTGGGACGACCAAGGTTATGAGATCGAAACAAACAATGGCACGTTCAACGTACGTTATGACAAGTCGCTCCAAGGACGTTTGGCATGGTTTTCTTATCCATGAAGCTTGTTTCGAACTTCTTTCCACCTACTTGAAGCCAGAACCGGTACCACTGCAGAGACTGCACGAGATTTGCTGTTCCGTCCACATCAAAGGTGCAATTCTCAATTGGGTTCCGCCGACGATTGAGGATATTATCGGCCTTGAAATGGCATTTAATAGTCCCCTACGTACCTCGGAAGCTACAAATCTTCTCGACCAGGAGCCAGAAAATCCACATCCAGTCGCCGATATACCCAACCTGCGAGATTCTGCTGGGAACCGACTAGACCAACTCCCACAGGAGCTCACAGAGATGATTGCAAAGGAATTACCCACACAGGATTTCATGAACGCGAGGCTAACAGCAAGATCTTTCTCGCCCATGTATCACAGCCAATCCTTTTGGCGCTCAAGATTCGCCCCCGGAGGCGAGCGATCATGGCTCTTTGAGGCCCTAGATGCTCACGAGACTATTTATTGGCGATCACTTTATCGCAAGACGAATGAAGCTCGCTTGACCTTGGGGTTACGAAACAGGAAGAGGATCTAGAACATCATCGCCAAACTCGCCCCATATCTTCGAACAGCACGAGATCCCTTACCGGAACCTTCTCTACTGGAGTAGTGTGAAAAAGAAAGAGGAAGCTGCCGATCCGAAGTCAACAATACCTAAATGATGATTATGATGATGATGATGATGATGATGATGATGATGATGATGATGATGATGATGATGATGAGCATGATGATGATGATGAGCATAATGAGCATAATGTTTGGCGTGTCCCCTGGAGGGAAATTACATAGCATACATCGTTATAATGATAATAATTTCTTTCCGTCCCAAGCTATCCGCAACAGCGACACCATAAGACTCTGCTATTATGTGCTTGCCCTGGGAGAATGCTACCGATCAACATATTTTATCCGGCTCTGGCTAAGAAATGTTTCAAATCTCAAAGATTTTTCTCATAGCCAGATTGAACTATTACAACATGTTCTCGAAATGGTATTCTGCCTTGCTTTTGAGTCCTTGCTTGCTTCAGTCTTGGAGGCTTTTTTTGGCCCACGGACCGGAGAGGCCGCATTCCTTGATATAAGCTACCGAAATTCAAAGCCGCCTTTATGTGTTCCTTATTGAAGCCTGATGAGCGCTGAAGAAATTTCCAATGGCCCAGTACAGTTGTTTATTTTGTTTATTGAGGGTATCGTCTGTTTCCCACTGATTTAGCCGCTTATTATACTGCATCATTTTCTATGGATTTTAATTCATCAATATGGGTTATATGGCATTTCTTTCTGGCGTTAAAGTAGATAAGACAGCTGAGATATAAACTTATTAGAATACAAGTCTACCCATAATAAGCACAGCATGCTCAGTCATTGTTAAGTTTAAAGGGTTTGTTCTACTAGGTGGGCCGCGTGATGGGCGCTTGTTATCGTTCCTTGTGCCACCAGTAGGCTTTTTTGCCTTCTAAAGAAAGGATTTCATCCCGCTGATAGAGGAGCTCGGGTACTCCAGCTTGAGCCTTATAGTGAAGATGAACTCTCCAGTTTCGCGATATCGGTAACAAGTGAGCAGCATCGATGCTACCGCCAAAGCTCCATTTCTACAGAACGGGGTCCCAGCGGTAGCTACGGGAGGAGCCCAACTTGCTTCAGAGAGATTCTTAGCTTGGACAACCCGAAGCTTAGACAAAGACAAAGGGGCTAGCTAATCACGCGGTTACAGGTATCACGTACTCGAAAGTCATAAGATTGCAATTTTGTGCTATGAAATCAAGATAACAAATCTGGCGGATGGTCACTATCTCGTGGAGACTATTGCCTAGACCATTCAGCGTACATACCCTCAAATCGGCCGACATTCCTTTTGTCAGTCGTAGCGGCTACAGGGAAAAGAAAGAGAGAGAGGGGTGAATCTGTGGATGCAAGCGATCGCTTGACCCAAGGAATCACCCTAAAAGAAGAAGCAAGGAGATGAGGCTCAGCCTCGTAAGAAGATGGCTTTATCTGGTGCAGTTTCTCCGAGAGAGTTGCCCTAAAGCCGAGCAAATGAATCACAAACTTCAACCAGCCTGCGTTGAGTCTCAGGTTCCTAGCGAACAGTTAGCACTCGAGAAGAACTCAACGTTGGTTCCGGAAACGGCTCTTACCGATGCAGAGTGTCCAGAGTCAGTCATGTAGAACTTTGACCTTGGCCACTTCCTGTGAAGCTCCCATGCAGTTACAGGAGGGCAGACTACGTCGTACCGCCCCTGAACAATGGTACCTAGCGCATGCCAAATTAGCCACCATCTTGACTATACTGTTTCATTGGGTTTATTCAAGCATACAGGGGAGATGCTTTATCTTGGCCATGTTCTCGGGTTTGAGGATATGCCCGTCCTCGCGCCAGAACTTGTTCATCCAGTAATGGGCGAAAATCAACGCGTGCTCCATGTTCCACTTGGGATCCTTGAGTCTCGCAAAGGCATTAGGCCTTAGTATCAAGGTGCTAATGGTCAGATCATAGCGATTCCACTCAATTGCAGCCGCGAGGGCGACTTTCTTGTCCTTGGACATCATCAGCTTGATATATTCATGTCTCGGGTCATTGGAGCGTCTCTCCTCCGGCAGCCAATTGATGAAGCGCTCCAGTGCGTCTGGGAAGAACAGCCTGCCGGCGTCCAAGCTGACCTCTGACTCTCTGAACGTGTAGATGCCCCGGAGGACGAGACACTTCACACGGTCTGGGTGGTCCTGGGCATAGAGCAGGGCCAGACTCGAGCCCCAGGAGCCGCCGAAGGCCATGTACCAGACATCAATCTTAAGGTGCGTTCGAAGTGTCTCGATATCATTGAGAAGATCGTCAGTTGTGTTCTCCCGGAGCTCGCAGGACGGTGTCGAGTTGCCGGTCCCACGCTGGTCAAAGAGCACAACGCGATAGATACACGGGTCAAAGAACTTGGTCATGCTGGGCTTGGTGCCGCCGCCAGGGCCTCCGTCTGGAATATGGTATTAGTTGGGGGTCAGGAGCTACAGTCTGGGGTAGACGTACGAAGGAAGATGACTAAAAGAGTCACATCAGATATTAGCAGTGTCTAAGCGGTTGGATGATGTTGCTAGAGACTTACCAGGGAGGCCGTTCTCCCGGCCATATTGGGCGTAATACATCCGATGTAGGCTACCGACTGGCAACATGCCCTCATCAAAGGGACTGCCGTGGGTATAACCGCTCATGTTGGCGACGAGGTATGGTGTGGGTTGGTTGCAGCAGAGTTAATCAGTTAGTCTAAAGCTCTCTTGGCTTGAAAGTATCTGAGGACATTGGAAACGCAAGTTCGACATCAAGTTGCTGGCCTCCATTGACCCTTTATATAATAGTGTGGACAGCCCGTCGAGCTCTGGGTAAGTCAATCAGACACTGACTGCATAGATTGTGCTGGAAAGAGAGGCTGCAATGCAACACCACGACTGAAATTACTCTTGACCGGCTGCACGTCAGGTGTCTCAGGGAGAGACGAGATGGCTCCAATCGTACGGTTTCGTTGGCTCAGAGAATCAGATCAATCCCCCTCTGGGCAGAACATGGTCACGATGGGTGCCATCAGCCAGTAGGGGGGCACCAAGTTGGCCCAACGCGCGTATGCATGCATGCAGCGGCACTGCGGACGGGGTGCAACATTGGACTGACTCGGAGAGTGAGGCGAGGAGATTGCGTGATGCCATTTTGGTTGTGACGGGCAGCTGGCTGGTGTTTGGGCGGACCATTTCTCGTGATTGTTTGAGCATGGCATCGGCATGTCTCGCAGCAACTGACGGTCACTGACCAGTGAATCACCCAGCGCTGATCCCCTAAGCTAAACCTGCTAAGGCAGAGAACTATGGGGCAGTCCCGAGGCGCTGGGTTCACTCAGTCCAGGGCAGGCGCGACGAGGTCTTTCAGGGCGGGCAGGAGCAAACGAGCCACTACGGCGGAAATAATGCACGAGTCGACCGGCCAGAAAACAGACCACCCACACTCACGCACTCTCACACACACACACGACGGCACACACACCACACAGCTGAACCCCTCACCTGCGACGTCGCATCAATTGAACGGCTTCATTTCCGGTTGATGCAATGGCGGACCTCCGCATGCCCGCATGATTGCTGACTCGTGGGGGCTTGCGTTTTGCTCAACACCATGCTGCACCTACGAAGCATGATAACCGCCTCGCGAGAATACGACATCTCCACACCATCAGCACGCATCACGCAGCAAGAAGGAAGCAGAAGGAAGCAAGAAGGAAGCAGCAAGAAGCAGTCTATCCGAGTACAAACCCAAAACGCTCACCGAAGCTGTTCGGCCAACTTGAAGTGGCTACTGCGAGGGGGGAATTAGTCAGACCGATCTGAAGGTCAATGACTGTGCAGTCCGGCGGGGTTCCGCAGATTGAACTACCGCCGCCGCAAAGACCAAGAATCGTCACCGTTTAAATACCTGCTGACCGACACAAGCTTCAATCATGCCTAGGCCCTACACCTTTCACCAGAGATCAATGAGATAAAGAAAGCACCATGTTTGACTCGCCAAAAGAAACCACATCGCTGGCCGGCATCGACACAAGCTTCCAAACCGCCATCGAGCAAGGCAAAATCAATGGCTCCATCTTCTTAGCCTCCAACGCCAAGGGCGACTTCACCTACACCAAGACCATTGGCGAGCGCACTCTCCTGAGCGGCGAGAAGCAGCCTCTGCAGGCTGACAACGTCATTTACCTCGCTTCAGGGACCAAGATCATCGCCGCCATCGCTGCGCTCCAGTGCGTCGAGGACGGATTGATTGCGCTCGACACCGATGTCTCCTCCATTGCGCCAGAGCTGGCGAACAAGCAAATCATCACCGGATGGTCCGAGGAGACCGACACCCCCATTCTAGAACCGGCCACCCGGCCTATTACCTTTGAAATGCTCCTAAAGCACACCTCCGGCATGTCCTACCATTTTTTCAATCCCCTCCTCCTGAAATGGTGCAAGAAGTACGACCAGCTCGAGGAGGGCCAGACCCGCCCCGTTGAGGAGGCATTTGCCTATCCCCTCACCTACCAGCCCGGCGCCGGGTGGATGTACAGCCCAGGGCTCGACTGGGCCGGGCGCATCGTTGAGCGTCTCACGGGCAAAACGCTCGGCCAATTCGCACAGGAGCGCATCTTCGACCCTCTCGGCATCAACAGCGCCCAGTTCCACCCCGTCACGCGCGAGGACCTGCGCGCGCGAATGGTGGATCTCAACCCGAACGACCCCAACGGCATCGGGATTGCTGTGGTGGGAAGCGGGGAGTCGAATAAGCGCAGCCGGGGGGATTTCGGTGGCCACGGCCTGTTCATGGGCGCTTCCGACTACGCCAAGGTGATTCACGCGGTCCTGGTCAATGACGGGAAGCTCTTCAAGCCCGAGACAGGTGAGCTTATGGTCCAGGACCGGCTTACTCCCGAGGAGGCGGCCGGGCACCAAATCGCGTTGGCTGGTCCCATTGGCCCCTTCTTTCGCGTGGGTACCGAGAAGAAGGCAGGCTATGGCCTC